AATTTATCCATTTCTTCTAGTTTGCTCAATTTGCGGGCATATAATTTTTCATAATATTCTCCTACAATTGCTTGTGCTTCTGCAGTGTCAGATGTTATTTGTTCTCTTTCATCTGTGATTTTGTTTGGGTCCTCCCTTCCCTTCCCCCACCTCTCTTTACAAGTCTGGCTAGAGGATTATCAATTTTGTTGATCTTTACAAAGAACTGGTTTCATAGATCTGTTCTATTTTAATTTTCTGTATCATTTGTGCTTTCATCTTTATTATTTCCTTCCTTCTGCTGGTTTTGGGTTCTGTTATTCTTTTTCTAGGTCCTTTATGGGTAAGGAGATTTTTCTTCCTTCTTGGAGTCGGCCTATATTGCCCTAAACATCCATCTTAGAACCGCTTTTGATGCACGCCAAAGATTTTGGACCGTTAAGTTTTTATTTTCATTTGTGTCCATGTAATTTTTTGTTTCTTCTTTGATTTCTTTGTTGACTCATTAATTGTTTGGTAGCATGTATTTATGTTCTTTCCAGATTTTTTTCTTGTGGCTGACTTCTAGTTTCATAGCATTGTGGTCAGAAAACATGCATGATATGACTTGATCTTCTTGAATTTGTTGAGGCTTGCTTTATGGCCTAAGAAGTGATCTCTTCTGGAAACTGTTCTTTGTGTACTTACCAAGAATATGTATCTGCTGTTTGAGGTTGGAATGTTCTGAAAATATCTGTTAAATCTATCTGATCTGTGTGTCATTCAGACACACTCTTTTCTTGTTGATTTTCTGTTTGGATGATCTATCCACTGGTCTAAATGGGGTGTTATAGTCCCCTATTGTTATTGTATTTATGTTGATTCATTTTTTTATGTTTGTTATTAACTGTTTTGTGTATTTGGGTGCTTCCATATTGGATGCATAAATATTTACAGTTGTTATATCTTCTTGTTGGAATCTCCCATTCATTATTATATAGTGGTCTTCTTTGTCCCTTGTTACAGTCTTGTTTTAAAATCTATTTTGTCCAATATAAGTATTGCTACTCTGGCTTTCTTTGACATCCATTTATATGATAACTGTTTCTTCATCCCCTCCCTTTCAATCTGCAGGTGTTTTTAGGTCTGAAATGCGTCTCTTGTAGGTAGCATATTAGATGGGTTTATTTATTTTTTTTTAGCCACGCTGTCATCCTTTGTCTTTGTATTAGAGCATCTAGTCCATTTACATTCAAAGTAGTTATTGATAGATCTGTGTTTATTACCGAGTTGTTACTTGCTTTGTGATTGTTTTGTAGTTTTTCTCTGCTCCCTCTCTTGGTCTCTTTCATAGTGTTTTGGCTTTCTTTAGTGATTCCTTTGCTTTTATTCCTTTACTTGGATTCCTTTGTCTTTATTCTTTGCATATCTGTTGCTGGTTTTTGATTTGTGGTTACCATTAGGTTTGTACATAACATCTTCTGTACAGCTGTCTATATTAAGTTGATGGTTGCTTAAGTTTGAATCTAGCCTTCATTACTTTCTGCCTGGCATTTTAGGTAGATGGTGTCATATTTTATATCCTGTTGCGAATCTCTTGACTGATATTTACAGATATACTTATTTTTACTGCTTTTGTATTTCCTACTTTTTATAGTCTTCCTTGAAAGAGTCCCCTTTAACATTTCTTATATGGCTGGTGTAGTGGTCATAAACTCCTTTAGTTTTTGTTTGAGAAACTCTTTATATTTTTTTGTAAACTGAATGATAGCCTTGCTGGATAGAGGATTCTTGGCTACACATTTTTTCTTCTCAGCATTTTGAATATATCATGCCATTCCCTTCTGGCCTGCAAATTTTCTGCCAGAAAATCAGCTGATATCTTTATAGGGTTTCCCCTTGTATGTAACTTGTCTTCTTTTCTCTTGGTGCTTTAAAATTTTTTTCTTTAGCACTACTTTTTTGTCACTTTAATTACTATGTGTCTTGGTGTAGATATCCTTGGGTTGATTTTGTTAGGGGATCTCTATGCCTCTTGGATCTTGATACCTGTTTCCTTCCCCAGATCAGGAAGTTTTTAGTCATTATTTCTTCAAATAAAATTTTTGCCATCTATTTATACTTCTTCTGGGATCCCTGTAATGTGAATGTTGTTATACTTGGAGTCCCTGAGTTCCCTAAATCTATTCTCATTTCGTATATATTTTTTTCCTCTCACCTGCTGAGCTTGATTACTTTCCATAATGTGTCTTCTGGGTCATTAATTCACTTGTCTGTTTCATCTAGCCTGCTATTTATTCCATTTAGTGTGTTTTCAATTTCATTTATTATGTTCTTCATCTCTGATTCATTCTTTTTTATCTCTGTGTTAAGGGTCTTACTGATGTTTTCCACTCTTTTCTCAAGTCCAGTGTGTATGTTTATGCTCATTACTTTAAATTCTCTCAGTCATATTACTTCTATCCATTTCTCTTTGGTCTTTTGTTGTGGTTTTGTCCTGTTCTTTCATTTGGGACATGTTCCTCTGTCTCCTCATTTTGTCTTTATTCTCTGGATCTGTTTCCATCTGTCGGGAAAGTCTGCTACGTCTCCTCCTCTTGAGGGTAATGGCTTGATGAAGAAGAGGTCCTGCAGTGCAGTGTCCCCTGTCCCCCAGGACCTTATACTTCAGGGCTGTGTTGCCAGTGGCCTGCTGTTGTGCCCTGGCTGCTTTTTCCTTTAGTCCAGTCGTCAGCAGAGTCTCTCTTAGCCTGTCGTGGGCCATGCTTGGTCTCCCACCGGCGTGGCACATTTTCACAAGGTATGCGCTGGTCTGTGTGTGAAGTGAAACCTGTTGCCTGCACTGGGGGAATGCAGGATGTGTGGGTGGGGCACCAGTTGTAACAGGATCTGCCTTGAACTTCTGCAGAGCCCACAGCTGCTGGTACCTAGGCCCAGCAGAAATGTGCGGGTCAGGAGAAGTTGTGTTGCTGATGTGATGCTTACATTGGTCTTCTGGGGCAGGTGATTCGCAGCCAGGGCTGAGGAAAATATGTTGAAAAGGGCAGATGAGTCCAAGTGTGGATGTGTGGGGCTTGGTGTAAGCAATAGGTAGGGAGTGCTGTGCAGCACCGTTCCTGCAGGTGCCTGTATGTTTATGCTGGGGGCAGGGAGTGGGGATGGGGGGTGGGGAAGGAGGGAAATAACACCTGCCTCCTCCTTTGTTCCTGGAATGGTCCCCCTGTGAGCCCTGCCTCTCTGGACTTGTTCTGAGATTAGTAAATACATCTCAGTCCCATGTGCTCTAGGCATTTTTCAAACTGCTGCTTCTGGGCTGTACCTACTTGGGCCGTTTGTCATGCTTTTTTAAGGGCAGGAACTCTACTTCCTAATGCCCTTCAGGCTCTCCCACAGCCCAGCTGCTGATTCTTAAAATTCCAGGCTTCAAGTCCTGCTGGTTATAGGAACTCATGTAATTTGGACCCCCGGCTTTCAAAGCCCAGTGTTAACAGGGAGAGGAAGGGGATTGGTCTTCCCTGTGCAGAGGCTCCCTGGTGTGATTGTCTATTTCTCACCCTTCTCTGGGCCCCCAGCTTGGACTAGGGTGAGTTGTGGCCTCTTCTCTTCCTTAGTTGTGTTGCCTTTGGGTTGTTTTCTGGGTTATTTGTGCTGATGTGAGTGTTACCTAGTTGTATCCACGGGACAGGGTGAGCCCAGGGTCCTTCTCCTCCACCATCTTCCCAGCCTCCATCCCAGCCAGATTTATTTCGTGCTTGGTTTTAGTTACTAGTTTTACATTCATTGTTACTTTATTATTAATTCTCTTTTGTGATTGTTATATATTATCCATGACAGTCATCGGTGATGTCTACCCCAGTATTTCTAAAAGCCTTGTTATTAAGATTTGCTTAAGTCAAGTTACTGCACTTAGTGTCAGACCTTTAAAAAAAGCCGCTAAGGATTTTGATTTTAGCACATTATGCTACGCTAGTTAGAGGACACACTGTAGTCGTCAGCCACTTTTGGTTAATATTTATTCCATATTTCAAATTCAGAGTCTATGGCTGCTAGATTTGACTTGAGTTTTATAATCTCCTCTCTTTTGCCTTCTGTTTGATGTCCTAGGAAGCACTGAAGTGATAAAATACTGGCAGCAAGTAACATTTTAATCTATTAATCTTTTTATTGATTAGGGAAGTATCTCTCATTATCATTATTATTATATACATTCTTCCACCTGACAGGAAGATATTTATTGTGAACATTTGGTTAAGTTTACCTTTGTTAAAATTTCTCATGATCCATGAAAAAAATTTAATGGGTAATTTTCTATATTATAGATTTAGATGTTGGAAATCAGTCCCCTGAATTAATCTGAGTATCAAACTGTGATTTTCTGTTTCCAGTATGGTTTTGTTTAAAATTGTGTTTGATAAACCAGCTGTTACGATTTCTAAATTTATTTATTAAAGCCTAAAACTAATTATTGGCTTTGTAGGAAAGCAAGTCAAGTTGGATCTACATGCAGATCTTCTGTTAGTAAACCCTGATTACCTAGATTGATAAACCCTAGGTTAATCCTATGGACCAGAGAACTGACTTTCTTTAGTATTAATCCCAAACTGCCTTCACTATAAATGTTCATTCAGAGCAGAATGTAAGATTGAGTGTAAAATATTTCAAGTAACTTTGAAAATTTTTAAAGCTGATGTTTCTGCTGTAAGAAAGTTTATGGATGAATGATTTTGTTAGGTTTTTCTTAACCTAATGATTATGTGAAGTATTAAATACTTCATTGAGAGTTTAAATTATAGCTAATTCTGACAGCTTTATTTTGTATATGTCATTTGGTTTGCTAGACTACGATATACATACAAGTCTGTAAATTGGTATAACTCTTTACTGTTTATCTTAAAGAGGTAATAGGAAAACAGATTTTGAATGAATGTATATTTTCTCATCATGGAATAAAATAGCCTTTGTTTGAGCAGTGTCGTTAATTTGTGAAGAAATCTCCAAAAAAAAGCAATGGTCACTTTTTAAATTGCTGTTGTTCTTTTCAGAGCAAAATTCCAGTTGGAATTAAAGCTGGGAGTTCTAATAAGGTGAGTCCCTTTTCCTTGAGTGTTTCTGCTTTACATTCTGAAACTTACCATTTATTGCTTGACAGCGGTTATGGAAGAGAACTGTACTGTGGTTACTTGGCAATGGACACATTTTGCCCCAGAATCCCCAATTTCAAGCAAGCAGAGAGCTTGTATATTTTTTACAGTTAAATTATATACCTTTCTTTTGGAGCTATTTCAGTTACGTTCTTGAAACCTCTAGAAGAACTATAGTAGGTATTGTCAGTACAGTGTCAGATGGCCTACTCAACAGGTATCGTGCATGTATTTTTAGTTTTCTGTTCCAACTAGTCAACCTGTCATGTTCAGAATTATATTGTATAGAGTAAACAGCTATCAAGGTATTAGGAGCATAGTACTTTTAAATGGCATTAAAATATTCCTTTAATAAAGATTACCCCTTTCCTTTTAGAAGCATGCCATAATTTACTTAGCTGTGCGTGTTTTTAGGTACCAGTTTACTTGTAGTTTTTCATCATTGTATGCACATAGTAAAGGTCATCATACCCTCTCTCTGTCTGCTCCCTCTCTCCATTTTCTTTTGTTTTCTCCCCTGTGTGGTCTTTTGTTTGTGTTCACTCTCTTTTATTTATTTTTGTTTCAGATCTAAACTAAATAAACAGTGTTAGAGACATTTTGAGTCCCTTCAGGCCTCCTTCCCAATCCCATTCTATTTCCTCCCTCCCCAGAGTTAGCCACTTTTCTGGAATTGACAGGTGTCCTTCTGCGAATCTTCTTAACTTTTCTACTTCTAACGCACGTGTAGCCACAAGTGACATACAGATCTTTTAATATGCAGTTTAAACATTAAGATTATGCTTTTTTATTCAGGTTAAAAACATTTTTTCAGTTACCTTTACTCCGCATTATGCTTTTAAAGTTTTGTCTCTGATGTAGCTTTGTTAATTTTAATAGTTGTGTAGTATTCGGTCGTATGATTGTCATTGACTAGCTCTTCCTCTGTTGACAGGCATTTCACTTGTGTTGGGTTTTTGCTATTACAATGATGCACTAGCATTTTTGTCCTTTGTCTCATTGTGTACACATGTAAGAGTTTTCCTCGGTCTGTATTTAGAAGTAAGGTTGCTGGGGCATCTGTTAGGCCTGTCTCAACATGATGAGATAGTACCTAGTATCTTTCTGAAGTGGTTGTACCTCATTTTTGGTTTTGTTTTTAAATGTTGCTCTGGATATGGTTTTGGTTTTAAGACTACTGGTTCAAGGGTTTATGCATTTTTATAGCACTAGATAAATCCTGTCAAATTACTTTCCCAAGTGGGTTTTCTCGGTTTAGATGATCACCAACATACCAATACTAATTGTTTTTAATGTCTTATTTGTGGCTCCTTTTGATTTGTACTTCTTACATATGTGAGAGATTTTGATAATAGGATGTATCTGTGTCATCATTGACAGATTGCCAGTGGTATTTGAAATTATTACTAAACTTACCATGTACTTCCTTTCAGTACTCAAAAGTGGCAAACAATACCAAAGAATTAGAAGATTGTGAGCAAGCTAATAAACTGGGAGCAATTAACAGCACACTAAGGCAAGTTTATTTTAGTAGCATTGAAAAATATTCTCTTGTTTAGTATATTTATATCAGAAATCTGTTTTTCTTGTAATTTTGATAAAACAATAAAGCTTCAAGTAATTCTTAAAAGGAAAAAGATATTTTTATCTTAAATTCCATGGTTGCTTTGCTTCTTCCTTTTAGCTGACTTGTTCTTAAATTTCTGGAATGTATCATCAATAGTGACTTCATCAAAAAGTAAAAATTTAGGAGATTGCTCAACTAGCAGGACTTTTGGGTCCATTTTTCCTGGTTATTATAGGAAAAGGAACTTTAGCCCCTAAGCCATTCATAAATAGTAAGTCATTCTGTATGTTACATTCTGAATGGGAAAAGTTATGATTACTATAACTGTTAAGTTTCACAGATTTTTTTTTCCTATTGACTTTTCCTTATTCTAATAAAAACCTGCTTCTGAAGGCCAACGTAATTGTGAGTGGTCTCAGATCATGCACTATGAAATGATTGTATCTATAGTTGGGTTTGGGGAATGGAATATCTTATGATATTGAAGGTATCATAGATATCATAAGATCTATTGAAGAGCAATTTTATTACAGAAAACTAAAAAAGATAATACAGCAAATACTCCCGTATCCTTCACTCCAGATGAATAGATGTTATCTTTTTCTACCATGTTTTTAAGAAAAGGGAAATATCAAAGATAAATTTGAAATTCCCTCTGGCCTGTTCCCCAATCCTGTATTCTTTCCTTTTTTCTTAGAGGTAGCTACTATCATGAATTTGCTATATATCCACCTATATTTTTCTTTTTATTTTTTATATAATCTTTATTTTATATGATTTTACTTTTCCCTTATATAAAATAATACTGTACTTAACATACTTCAACTTTATTTTTATACTGAACATTTTGCTTTTCTAGATCTATGTTAAAACATGGAGATCTATCTCATTTTTTTAACTGATGAGTGGTTTTAGATAAAAAACTACATATGAATATACTGTACTTACTTCTGTTCCCCTGTTGTTAGACATTTGAATTGTTCAAATTTTTTAACTTCTATAAGTTATGGCACCTTGAGAATCCTTGATAAATTATTGTTGGTGTACATTAGGAAATTTGTCAGGCATTAGTGAAGTTGGTGAATCTTCATATTGCCCACGTGCACCTGTTTGTGTTATTGCCTGATGGCTTTCCAGAGAACACGTGTGGTTATGTACTGCCTCTGGTGCTGAGAACTTACTGGTTCTTCACATCCTTGCCAAAATCCGATAAGGTTTGACTGTAAAATAGTACCTCATTTTGTTTGTATTTTGTTACTAGTGAGTTTGAACATTTTTCCTTTTTTTATATTAATAAATTTATTTATTATTTTTTTTATAAATAGTTTATTGTCAAGTTGGTTTCTGGAGCATTTATTTTTTATTTGTGTATTGAACATGTATGCATTTTATTCATTCAGTAAGTGAATGCCTACAATATGTCAAGCACTGTTCTAGAGTATTAGGCATCTAGCAGCATACATGGCAAATTCTTTTTCTCAAATATATCAGAAGTAAGTAAAATGATGATGAGTGCTTGGGAGAAAAAGAAAACCGAGAAGAATGATAGAGAGCGAGGAGTGGCAGGGTGGGGTGGGGATGGAGTTTTATAAAGGGTGGTGAGAGGAGGCCACAGCGATAATGGGACATTTGCGCAAAATGCCCATGAGAGCGTTAAGTCCTAATATGGCTGCCTGGGGCATGAGTAGTGCTGGCACGTGTGATTGTTAGTAAAAAGAACCTGTGGCAGGAGCATGCCTAGATCATTTGAGGAACCACAAAAAGGCCAGAGTGGCTGGAATGCAGTGGTCAAAGGCAAAGTAGTAGAAGGCAGAGCCACAGATACCAGGATGGAGGCAGGGGTAGGATGGGGTAGAGATCTTGCAGAGCCTTGAAGATGATTACGAATATTGCTTTGAGGCTAAGTGGAATGAAGTGTCATTGGAGGATTTGAGAGAATGCGTTACGCCGTGGAGGCCTTGTTATGGGATTATTGTAGTAATCCAGACATGACGTGATGCTGGTTTCGTTTAGGGGGATGGCAGTGGAAATGATGAGTGATAAGGTTCTGGATGGATTTTAAAGATAGAGCTGACAGGGTTTGCTGAGGGATTTGATGTGGGGTATCAAAAAAGCTAGGTGCTGCGAATGACTACAAGACTTGGAACGAGAAGAATGGAGTCCCCATTTACTGAACGGTGGATACCTGCGGGACGAACAGGTTTGATGGAAAATCATAGTTCAACCTTGGACCTGTTGAGTTTGAGCTGCCTATAAGTCATCCAGTTGGAGAGGTCCGGCAGGCAGCTGGATGGATATACAAGTCTCAGTTTCAGGGGAAGGAGAAAGTGTGGGAGTCATTCAGTAAATGTATAGTATTTAAAAACCATAAACCTGAATGAGATTACTCACAAGAGAATATAACTAGAGACGTCATCGAGGGATTGAACCTTAAGTCATTCTAAGATTTTAAGGTTTTGTGCCTGGTCATATTTGTCACTGTTGTTTCTCCATGGTGGGGGTGGGGGGGGTGAAGGTGGCATAGGTGTGCACTTTGAGATTATTATTAATTTGTGGGCATTCTTCATATAATCTGAGATAGTGGCTTGTCTTTTAATTTTGCTCATAGATATTTTGTTGGACAGAAGTTACTAATTTTTTAAGCTTTAAGCATATAAATCTTAAGCATAAAGGTCAGTTTAATTTTATAAAGTGAACCATCTCTGCAGCAACCATCCAGAACAATACACTTGATACTCTGAAGATTGCCACGTGTGCTTTCCTAGTCATTACTGCTGTCCAGAGTCAACCATGATTTTGAATTACATTAGCAGAGATTGGTTTTGCCTATTTATATTAATGAAATAATAAGAAATGTCTTTTTTGTATCTGGCTTATTTTATTAAATATCATGTCTGAGAGTCATTCATATTCTTGAGCTTAGTAGCATGTAATTCTCTTGTTATTGGCATAGCAGTCCTAGTTAAGTCTGCACTGAAATGTTTCTGTTCAACTACTGTTGATGGCTGGAATTTTTCGCTTTGCAGCCATTTCAAAAAAAGAAAATTTGGACATTTGGTGGGGCATTTGGTACACATTTCTGTGTAGAATATACCTACAAGTGGAATTAAGTAATACTGCCAAGTGGTTTTCCAAAATGACTGCTACAATACATTGCCACTAGTAGCATACGAGAGTTCCTCATTCCACAACTTCTCCAGCAATCAGTCTGTAATTTTTTAAACGGCTTTATTGAAGTTAATTGACATGCAGTGTATTGCAGCTACATGAATTGAGATTCTACCATTTGATGTTTTGACAAGTGTACACTCATGCAGCTCAGCATAATCAAGATAGTTGTCCAACCCACCACCCTGAAAAGTTCTCTCATGCCCTTTAGAAAGCCCTTCATCCCATTCTTTCCTGCCCTGTGTTTCCAACTTCGAAGGCTCCCGCTTTATAACACGTGGCACCATCTTGACAGGAAGCCCTGGGTGAAGCCCAAGAAATTCTTATGGAAGCAGCTTGGCATCCATCTTCAAACTGACTTAGAGCAGCTGGACGAGGTTCCTTCTGACTCCTTTGTAAACCAGACTGGGCCAGCTCTGTTAGCATTAGGTTAGCGTGGCCTGTCTTTTTTGCTGCCATGGCTTTCCGGCAGGGTTTAGGAGGACTGTCAGCAAAGTGACATCAAATAAGGATGCTCAAAGAAAAAAGTTCCTCTCAGATTGTTACCAAGAAAATAGGAACTTGTGTCACAGTGACCTTGTTCTTGACTATTTTCAATGGAAGACGTATCTAATTAAACGTAATGATAGTTACTTTAAGCTGTAACTAGAACTTATGCATTCTCGTTTTATGGCATCTATATTTCGTCTGAGTCAACTATGAACTTTTATTAAGTTGGTTCAGTATTCTGTAGGAGAAAAAACAAATCCCACAGTGAATTGAATTGGAAACATTTATTTGATACAGTTGAGGTGGTGCAGCCAGCCTTTTATGTACTTCTCATAGAGGTTATGTTATGTAGCAGTTTTTCAAATACAAAATAAATTCTTGGTTAGGACAGTAACACATTGAGGAACTCCCTAATTTAAAGTTGGTAATACAAATAATTTTTTTACCTTGTGCCCCCCCCCCCATTGATTAGTGAATAAAGAAGAGTAGTAACACTTCTCTTATAGATGTTTCCCATATGGATTTAAGACAGAGAAGGTTTGAACATAGATTAAAGTGAATGTAGGCCAAAGTATGAGTGACCATGGTTCCTTTATCAGTCCTCTAAGTAGAGCTCTTGATCGTAGATTCTGTTAAACTAGTGAGGTAGTATGTATGATGAATGATATGCCGTGAATGAGAGTGATATTGGTGTTACCAGTGAGTATCGCATTGGAAGGAATGTCCTAGAAATGCAGCTTTTGGTGTTTTTGTCCTATAAATACAGAAATTAAAAGAATTATGAAGGTAAATTCAATTTCTGCTTTAGAAAAATATACCACAATTTCTAAGTTAGGTGAAAAGGCTAGCTTAAATTTTGTGTTTAACTATATCTCATATATATTTATAAATTAATTTTCCAGTTAAAGTAATTATTGCAGTAGGGCTGATAATAGCTTCAGTATAAATAGAAACCTTCACGGAAGAGTTAATATCTATGTTTTTCATGTAACTTGTTATCATTCCTTCATGTAACAACTAATTGAATATGTGACACTATCTAAAGGCGTGACCCCAGGTTATTTTGTTTTTAATTATACAAGATGCAGTGTAAACATTTTCAACTCCAGATTTAATCATTTTTCTTATTCCCTCCTTCCCCTAGTAATCAAAGCAAAGAAGCCTTCATTGACTGGGCAAGATACGATGATTCACAGGATCACTTTTGTGAACTTGATGGTAATAAAATAAGCTATTGTAATTAAATTCTGTTTACTTTAATCCTTTTATGAGAGCTTGAAATCAATGAAAAATATACTCAGAGTTAGAGCTTGAATACACTGGATGTTGGTGTGTGGATCTTATTGTTCATAATGGCATTTATTGGGAGCTTATGTTCCAGGCCCTGTGCTAAGTGCTTTAAGTGCATTATTTCTAATCTTTGCAGTTACTTTATTAAAAAAATTTTTGTTTAAATATTTGCTAATTTTTGAGAGAGAGAGAGAAACTCTGCAAGTGGTGGAGGGGCAGAGAGAGAGGAAGACACAGAATCCGAAGCAGGCTCCAGGCTCTGAACTGTCAGCACAGGGCCCAGTACAGGGTTTGAACTCACAAACTGTGAGATCATGACCTGAGCCAAAGCCAGATGCTTAACCGACTGAGCCACCCAGATGCCCCTCTTCAGTTACTTTAACAAGCATCTATCTTTCATATCCAAGGAAAGGGAGTCTCAAAAAGAGACTGACTTGCCCAGGATCACAAGATGGGATTCAATCCCGGATGTGACTGAATCCCAGATCTGACTGATCCCACACCTGTGCCTTTTCCATCATGACATACTATCTCCTGTGGACCTCTGTTTCAAGCTGTTTAGTTTAGGCCTGTGAACATATAAACATGTTCACACTGGAATTTTCTGGAGGTCTCAACAAACCAAACTAAAGATACCTTACAGTACTGGGGAGGACTCTCATTTGACTTCGCCACAGCCCTCTTGCCAAGAGTCCTGGGGAATGGCATGAAGGGGGGCACTGTTTACCAGTAACTACCATGACTCTTAAGGCAGAAGGTGATTGAGTGACTCAAAATTTTTTCTGAGGAGAATATTCCTAAGAGTTTTGTGCTGCATAGGCTTAAATCATTCATTTGACCTCTCTTCACGTTTTACCTTTATATCGTGGGTGGTGGGAAAGAATTTGGGATAAAGCTTGCCTATTGGAGATACAGAGGTTCCTCTGAACTCTTAAAGCATATAGATTGGTGATGCTGCTTTCTAAAAGTTTTTGGAAGATTCATCTGTAGCAGCATGCTACAGTCTAGATGGAATAAGTTATAGCGAGTGGCTGCAGTAGTACAGGAAATTGAGACAAAGCCAGGAAGTGGAATGTTCTCACCATGGTTTATATGGTTTCAGCAAGGACATTTTTAAGAGATCTGAGAAAAAGTTTCTTTGGGTATCTTAACTCCTATTAGGATATTTAGAATCGCCAGAGATTTCATCAAAGCAAGCCACCGTGCCAGGTTCAGAACTGACATCACCACTTAGTCTCTCGTTTGCTCCTGGGTCATTGTTCTAATTACATTTAGTGTTCAACACTCACGGTCACTTCCTGCCAACCTATTTTATCTATTCTATATGAAAATAAAAAATTTTCGATGGTGCTTAGTTAACGGGTTTTTAGATTAAAAACTCATTTCTATGAATATTTCTCTTAGAGTAAATGATATGAACATATGGTTCTCTTATAGATATTTAATAAAAAAATATGACTCAGTTGCAGGGATCACCTGATACGATTAAATTGATGTACGCAATTACCTCATCAATATAAGTTGTGTTAACTAATTTTTTCACATTAGCTTCTGATATTGTAAAAATGGAAGAAATATCCTACAAGAATTTACATAGAAGCATCCCTTAAGATTTTTAGGATGGCATAATCGAAGTAATTAGTGGTGTTTATGTTTTGTGTAGTCTTTAAATATATAAACCATTCTACTAGTTGGACTACTATTACTCTTCTAAGTAGTAATGTTCATGTGTGTCCCAGTGACTTATATGTAGTTTTTAGTACAAGGTGAAAGATGTACATGAAAGAAGAAAAACCAGAGTAATATACATACAGTTTTTAAAAACCCACCACAGTATCTTTAGAGTCCCTGCTGAGTAACTTCAGTTATCTAAAATCACTGGACCAAAACAAAAAATCTCGAGAAGAGTCACCCCAGTTTACTGGAGTGTGTCTATACCCCTGTGCACTGCTGTGTTCTTGTTGTTGTTCGGTGCTTATTTGGAAGGGAAGATGATCTTTATAGACCAAACTGTAGGCTGTTAAATAATTTAGCAGGTTAAGGTAAGCTGCTTCCCCTGTTTGTTTTGCCATTGTTGTTGTCGTTATGCATGGCCAGCTGCTGCTTGGCTTCAGGTTTCTGCTCACATGATACCTCGGCAGAGAAGCCTGCTGTCACCTCCCTTATGAAATAGTAATCACTGTTCCCCTCTGCCTGCACTGCTGCCTGCTCTCCATGCACTGAGAACTTCCTGAGCGTGCGTGGCCAGTTATTTAGGCTACCTGCTTGTCTGTCTTCCCCAGCTACAGGGAGAGCTCCTCTGGTCCACTGCACCCTGCTACCCAGAACGGCGCCTAGGCGTGGTATCTGCTCAGTACATACCTGCTGCATGAAATAACCGAAATAGTGTGGTTTTTACTTTTGTTTTTCCCGTGAAAACATTAAACAGGACATACATTTAAAATGTTGTTTAAAACAGTAGTTTCTAAATCTGGCTGTGTATTAAAATTACTTGGGGACTTTATGAACTGTAGAGTCTCCTCAGCTGAGTACACTGTAACAATGCATCACTGGCAGTCTGGGATCGAGCTGGTGATGGAGGGTTGTAGGCTCAATCTTGAGTACTTTTTTCTCCATATGCAGCAAAAAGCCTACGCGCTAGGTTGGGGTACCAGCACTTGTGTGTTTTCTAGGGGGAATTCAACCTGTGTATGAGCTGTACCCCCAACACCCACCTAGATGTCATGAAGTTCTTGGCAGTACCAGTCGGGGTGACCAACATTTTCTTCTGTAAATGTACACATAGTAAATATTTTAGGCTTTATGGACCATATGGCCTCTGTCACAACTCCTCCGCTCTGCCCTAATAGTTTGAATCAGCAAATGAACACGGCTTGTGTTCTCATCAAACTTTCCTTACAAAAAGTACACAGTAGACTAGATGTGGCCTTTGGGTTGTAGTTTGCTAAGGTTAATAAGACCCCCTTTTTCATGATTTGAAAAAGTACTAAAAATTTTGAAACCACTCTTGATTTAATTTAAGGAAATATACAGTAAGAACATTGAGAATGTAAGTTTTAAATGAAACATCATATAATTGACTTGATTCTTGTGATTTGTCACTGCCTTAGCATATATTTTTTTATGTTTATTTTTCAGAGAGAGAGAGAGGGAGGGAGAGAGCGCATGAGCAGGGAAGGGGCAGAGAGAGGGAGGGAGGGAGGGAGAATCCCAAGCAGGCTCCGTGCTGTCAGCACAGAGCCCAACACGGAACTCCATCTCCCAAACCATGAGATCATGACCTGAGCCAAAATCAAGAGTCAGATGCTCAACCGACTGAGCCACCCAGGCGCCCCCAAATACATTTTATTTTTTTTATTAAAAAATTGTTTTTAAATGTTTAGTTATTTTTGAGACAGCAAACAAAGGGAGGGGTAGAGAGAGAGGGAAACACAGAATCCAAAACAGGCTCCAGGGTCCGAGCTGTCAGCATAGAACCTGCCGCGGGGCTTGAACCCACGAACCGCGAGATCATGACCTGAGCCGGAGTTGGACACTTAACCGACTGAGCCCCCAAGCGTCCCTCCAAATACATTTTAAATCATTATACTGTAATATCTGAATCTTTTTGTTTTTTCCATATTGGTTGGTTAGTTGCTTTGTTGGGTGAAGAGGCTGATAGCAGTCCATTATTTACGTTTGTAGATGAGCCTACAAATGTGTAGGCTTACATGCACACACACATTCTTTATACTTGTGTACATACGTATATGTCCATGGATATAAATGTTTATGATATGTTTAATATTTGTCAATGTTATAATCAAATCAGTTTTGCAAATGAGTTTAACCATGAACAACTCAAAGAAATTAAAAATCTATGACAGAAACTAGCAAATTGTAAAACTTTTGTTTGAACTTCCCTATAAAAGTGGCATTTTGATTAACTTCATAATTTGAATATTTTTTGATAAAGATTTTTAAAATGATTGTTTTAAAGTCTTGAATCAATCCATATCCTTGGGCAGTTTCTGTTCATCCATCTGTAAGTTACCTATTTTCTCTGTCTCAGGTTGTATAGTGGAATATCTGTATAATGTTAAGGCTAGAAGTAGAGGCAGTATTATTTGTGTTTCTATTGTCTGTAAGTTAAATATAACTCATTTAGTAATGACAAGTTGTAATTATTTTTGTATTCTTCCTACTTCCTTACAAAAGCCAGATAGTTCTTGGAAGGTACAGATTAGGATGCCATTTTCCTCTTAATAGTTACGGATAATCTCCGTCTATGGTCACTGAATGGTCAATGAATATTGTTGGCTGACAGGAAGATATACTGTTAGGTAATGAAAAGAAGAGGGACTGTATTTTAATGACCGCATTTGGCCGCTGTTTTAAGTCAGTGCCCGTATGTCTACTATTGATTTGATCTCATGACACCAAAAGGGAGGAAACATACAAATAAAGGGATATATCTGTGCCCACATATATAGGGCTTTAGCTTACATGTGTTATGGATCATACATTTGTGAAGCAGAGTCAGTACAATTTTTCTACAGGCATGAAAACATGTATTTCCCTTTTCTCCCCAGAATGGCAGCCTTAATAATTAAGAGCATTTTGCTTTATCTTTTGTATCCCTCAGAGATCTCTACTAAAATGTCCAAATAGTGGAGATCTAGTAAATACTCATTTGGATTTTAACACAGAAAATGTTTATTTAATTTTAAATGTCTTAAATTCTTGAAGTGGTGCCTATTAGGTATTGGCTTAAGAGGAAAAACACTCTAGTGTGTTAATAGTAGTAAAAATAAATTATGTGCATTTTTTGAAACTAGAGCATTGTGCAGCTCTGTAAGTGATCAAATTTGAATCACAAAGTTATTAGGCCATTTATTTTATAAGTCAAAAGTAGAGAGAAGCAGGAAAATCTCTCATTTTAGTACAATATATGCTAAAAAAAAATGTTTCCAAACGTGTGTAAGGTGGGTGTATGCATAGGGAAGAAATCAAATAAAATACTAGAACAGGTTATATTCTGTTCGGTCATTTCGATCCTGAATGGTTAAACCAAAAAAAAAAATGATGAGTGCCTCTAAGAAGGTGAGCCACGTTCTGTTACTGAAGAGGGTATCCAGTGTCTGAAGTAAAGGGGGGACTTGTTTTTTCCTCTCAAGTGTAAGTTATCCTGGGTCAAGTATAGTCACAAGTGTGCTAACCATTCTACCATTTAAGTTGAGGTTACTTGAAAAGTGTAGCCTTTCTCTAACCTCTGGGTAGTTCTGCTTGTGTTATAATGTGACATTTCAGGTACCTGGTGACATAGAGATGGTTCTTGTGAATTGTTTTCTTGTTCAGATGAGCGATCCCCAGCTGCTCAATATGTCGACCTGTTGCTGAACCCAGAGCGTTACACTGGCTATAAAGGGTCCTCTGCATGGAGAGTGTGGAACAGTATCTACGAAGAAAACTGTTTCAAGTAACTGGAGGGCAAATGGCTAAAGGGAGGATGGAGGAAGAGGGGTATGGTTCTGTGGGGGGTAAAATTACATAAAAAAAATCAAACCATTTTATGTTTGAGTTTCACACTTGCTTTTTCAGGCCTCGATCTGTTTATCGTCCTTTGAATCCTCTGGCACCTAGCCGAGGTGGGTGTTTCATACATTTTCATGCTTTTTTAGAGATTACTTACAACATGTCTTTGTAACTAAACAAACTTTGAGCAAATTTTCAAGTATTTTATGTTTTTTTCTTTAAAAAATTTTTTAAATGTTTTATTTCTGAAAGAGAGAGAGAGACAGTGTGGGCAGGGGAGGGTCAGAGAGATTTCAGAATCTGAAACAGGCTCTGAGCTGTCAGCACAGAGCCCGAAGCAGGGCTCGAACCCACAAACTGTGAAATCATGACCTGAGCTGAAGTTGAACGCTTAACCGACTGAGCCACCCAAGCGCCCTGATGTTTTTCTTAATTTGAATGATCAGAAGCATAAGATTAGTTCATGGGGTGCCTGGGTGGCTCAGTTGGCTAAGCATCTGACTCCTGATCTCAGCTCAGGTCATGATCTCACGATTTGTGGGTTTGAGCCCCACGTTGGGCTCTGCACTGTAAGCCTGTTTGGTTTCCCTGTCTCCCTCTCTCTCTCTCTGCCCCTCCCCCACTTTGTCTCTCTCTCTCTCTCTCTCTCAAAATGAATATACATTTGAAAAAAAAGTATAAGATTGGTCCATAATTGAATCTCAATATTTCTACATGTTTTATTTAATTATTGACATTTATTGAGTGCCTGATATGTGCCAGGCCCTGAAGTAGGAGTTCTGTGTGAATTAAATCAGTATGTGAGTAATGCATACATATCAGAGGTTTCCTGGGGAACTCTTTTTTTTTTTTTAATTTTTAATATTCATTTTTGAGAGAGAGAGTGCAAGTGGGGGACAGGCAGAGAGAGAGAGAGAGAGGGAGACACAATCCAAAGCAGGCTCCAGGCTCTGAGCTGTCAGCACAGAGCACGACGTGGGGCCCAAACCCACAAACTGTGAGATCGTGACCTGAGCCGAAATCAGACGGTTAACCGACTGAGCCACCCAGGCGCCCCTTCCTGGCGAACTCTTAAAAATCTGCATTGCCAGGCCCTATTGTGTACCAGCTTAAGTCAGAATCCTTAGGATTAGCCCCAGCTGCTGTTTTGTTTTTTTTTTTTTTTTTAAACAGTCCAGCTGATTCCAGTACGCAGGCGAGTTTGAGAACCAGTGGCTCAGAACGCAGACTTCAGGTGTGCGTCCCAAGTACCTAAGGGCCTTGTTGAGATACAGGTTCTGATTGTGTCGGTCCTGGGTAAGGCCCAAGATTCCAACAAGCTCCTAGGTGATGCCCGGAGTGCCTGCTGGTCTGTGCACCACATTTGAGTCCTAAGGACGTAGAAGAGTTAGAGAGCTAAGAGCATTGCTCTTAACCTGCACTGCCCGAGGTCACCACTTGCCACACTGGGCTGTATCGAGCACATGAAATGTGGCCAGTGTAGAACCTAGTTTGACAGTTTACTTAATTTGTTTACATTTTAAAATGGAAGAAGTGTAAAATATTTTTGCCATTAAACAGAACTTTATCCTTTCGATAGGACTGCCTTAACTGTTGCCTCACATAAGTACAATTGTTGTAGTGCATCTATACTTTTTACTTTTTAAAACGTGGGTATTAGAGGGGCGCCTGGGTGGCTTAGTCAGTTAAATGTCCGACTTTCGCTTAGGTCATGATCTCGCGGTTCGTGGGTTCGAGCCCCACGTTGGGCTCTGTGCTGACAGGTAGCTCAGAGCCTGGAGCCTGTTTCAGAGTCTGTGACTCCCTCTCTCTCTGACCCTCCCTTGCTCATGCTGTCTCTCTCTCTTTCTCTTAGAAATAAATAAAACATTTAAAAAAAATTAAAACGTGGGTATTAGAAAAAACTTCCCACATGTGGCTAAGTGTTATATTTCTATGGGACAGCGTTGCTGTAGACAGCTGGAGGTTAATCAGTGTAAAACTGCTGGGCACAGCTTCAGTCTGTTCTCAACAAGGAGCCAAATCCTGTTTTGATGTTTTCTTTAGACCAGGATTGATTTAAGAACTAGAATTTCCTGGTCTAGATTTGTATCTTTAAGGCCTCTCTGAGAGCCAAAGAGACTTTAAAGGCTGACTGAATGGACTGCTTTTAGATACTCTTTTACAACGTAGCAAGTGTTCTTCTCCAAATCCATTCTGACACTGCCAGGAGAAGGGAATTGGACCATGAAAAAGGTGTGCGTGGTTTCTCATCCTTTGTCTGTTTTGCCATTTTGACCTTATAATTTACTATAAAAGTAGAAACACGAAAGTTATATAAAGTAAAAAGAGAAGGCTCCCCCCACACCCACCCTGGTCCACATACTCTTCCACAGTGCAGAGCTTGAAAGGTATTCTTCCAGGCCTTTTCTGTGATTACTTAGGGTTTGTTTTTTTTTTTTTTTTTTTTTTTTTTAAGGATTGGAGTTAAAACATTTTTAAAAGTTGAGGTATAATTGACATATTAATTTCAGGTGTTCAACACAACGTTTACCTATTTGTATATATTCCAAAAGGATCACCATGGTAATTCTAGTTAATATCTGTGACCATATGTAGTTACAGAATTTTTATTCTTGCAATGAAAACTTTTAAAATCTACATTCTTACCAACTTTCAAATATGTAATACAGTGTTATTAACTGTAGTTGGCAAACTGTTCATTACATCTCTAGGACTTACTTCTTTCGTACCTGGAAGTAGGCACCTTTTGACCACCTTCACCCATTTTGTCCACTCCCTACCCCCTTCCTCTGGCAATCACCTGTCTGTTCTCTGGATCTGTGAGTTTAGGGAGTTTTGTTCTGTTTTGTTTTTAGATTTCATGTATAAGAGAGATCATACATTATCTGTCCTTCTCGGACTTCTTTCTTTCACTCAGTGTAATATCCTCAGAGTCTATTGATGTTGTCACCAGTGACAGGGTTTCCTTTCCTTTACGGCTGAGTAGTATGATCACTTTTTTAAATTTTTTTTATTATTTTTTTTTCTAATAGTTTATTGTCAAATTAGTTTCCACATAACACTCAGTGCTCATCCCCACAAGTGCCCTCCTCCATGCCCATCCCCCCTCCCCCCCACATCCATCAGTCCTCAGTTTTTGTCATCATTCAAGAGTCTCTCATGGTTTGCTTCTTTCCCTTTCCCCCACCATTTCCCCCCTTCTTCTCCCCCTTGTTACTCCGTCAAGTTCCTCCTAATCCTCCTATACGTGCAAACATATGGTATTTGTCCTTCTCAGCCTGACTTATTTCGCTCAGCATAACACCCTCAAGGTCCATCCATGTTGCTACACATGGCCAGATTTCATTGTTTCTCATTGCCATGTAGTATTCTATGGTATAGATAAACCACATCTTCTTGATCCATTCATCTGTTGATGGACACTTAGGCTCTTTCCATGTTTTAGCTATTGTGGAGAGTGCTGCTATGAACATTGGGGTACATGTGCTCCTATGCATCAGCATTTCTGTATCCCTTGGGTAAATTCCTAGCAGTGCTATTGCTGGGTCATAGGGGAGTTCTATTGTGAGTTTCCTTAGGAACCTCCACACTGTTTTCCAGAGGGGCTGTACCCGTTTACATTCCCAGCAACAGTGTAGGAGGGTGCCCGTTTCTCCACATCCTCGCCAGCATCTAGAGTTCTCTGATTTGCTCATTTTAGCCACTCTGACTGGCGTGAGGTGGTATCTCAGTGTGGTTTTGATTTGTATTTCCCTGATGAGGAGGGATGCTGAGCATCGTTTCATGTGTCTGTTGGCCATCTGGATGTCCTCTTTGGAGAAGTGTCTGTTCATATCTTCTGCCCATTTCTTCACTGGGTTGTTTGTTTTTCGGGTGTGAAGTTTGGTGAGTTCTGATCACTTTTTTAAAAAAATTTATTTATTTTGATGGGGGAAGAGAGAGGAAGAGAGAGAATCCCAAGCAGGCTCCCCACTTAGCACAGAGCCTGATGCGGGTCTCAGTCTCACAAACCATGAAATCGTGACCTGAGCTGAAGTCGGACGCTCAACCAACCGAGCCACCCAGGGGCCCCCAGAGGCTTTCTAAAATTTATTGTACTTTGTGGCCTCCATTCTTATTAAGTCTAATTTTCAGGATGACTGACCAAGCTTCATGGTATGATTAACCGTTTAACACACAGAAAGTTTTAATCTGATATTAAAGTAAATAGGTTTAAAATCTGAACTATGGAAAACATTTTCTAAAATCCTGTTTATTATTTTCTCTTTTAGGAGAAGATGATGGTGAGTTAAAACTCTTATGTTTGGGTTTGTGTTTATGTTTTAGTGATCAAAATTAGATTTTTCCCTCTATTCAAAAGAAAATGTTTATCCTATTTTTTCAGAAATTGCTACCAATGAATGGCGACGAAAATAAATCTTTTCTAATATAAATTTACCCTATGTTTAAAAAACATAAATTCCATCTTAAATGTTTAGTGTAGAAACCAGGATTACATTCTAAGTTCCCCATTTTCTGGTTATTGTAATCTACTTGAATATGTTCTGAAGAAATGGAGAAAAGTTAAGATAGTTTTACCAGGTAGTTTGTCTTGTGACTTTATTTTCTTATTGTCTTTGTAATTTATAACCTCTGTTATAATAATACTTAATCTGATGAATAGTAATTTATCAACAATTGATTACTCCAGGTTACCAAATGATTATCAGTCATAAGTTGCCCCCAAACAATCAAAATAGTTATTTCAAATGGATGTTTACTTCTCTGTGCTCAAGGCAGTGATGAGCATTGTGCAGGATAGAAGGATGTGTAAAAGACGATGCCTTCCAGAAGCTGACAGTATGTAGCAGCAATGACCAGCACTAACATCAGTAATGGCAAAGAAGGGCTGCACATATATAATAAAGCAGTAAGCAATCTAGCTCTTCAGAGGTGGGACAGATCCTCTCCCACTGATCTGGAGGCTTAGTGGAGGAAGTGGCAACTGAGATGAGTTTTGAGTAATGGGACAGATTTAGGCTGATAGAAATTGGATCCTGTGTGCTGTTAGGAGAAAATACCATAGACTGAGGAGTTGAAAAGGGAAGAATCAAGTATGTTTGGGGAGACCCTGTTAGCAGCAGGGAAGACTTCATGTGGGAGTAGTTTAAGTTCGGAAGAGGAGTAGAGGCCAGATTATTGAGGATTCGGGAGCTCAACTTTTCCTGATAGCGTTTGGGGTTTCTTGAGTAAACAAGTTGAGATTATGGTGAATGGTCCTTAGGCAGAATGTGTTGAGTAAGTTCATCTGTGGGAAGATGTTTGTGTAGTTTTGCGAAGTGTGAAGACTCTCAGGAGACACAGTTGTTCCCCACCATCTAATTTATCCCTGAGACTCCTTGCTCAGCTCATCTATGTGTTGAGGTTTTCTTCTGCTTTGCTTCTCTCTTGTAAAATAAAGATCGATAACTCACAAAATCTGTTTTGATGAACTAGATTGATGTTAATTGGCTGCCATTTTATTTTCCTGTCAGAACAGCATTGGTCTAGAAATAGCTCTTTTAGCATTAGTACACAGGTAAGTCAGGTCCCTCCATATTCTAGGCATTGATGTTTCTGAAAAATCATTTAAGTATTAAGGGATTTTAAAATTACCTCTTGAAATTTAGTAGTCCTAGATCACTGGGGAAATGGATCTAGCTTTACTGCTCAGGAAAAAATGGAATAATTACTAATTTGATTTTTGTATTATAATTCACTGTTTTTTTCCTAGAATTTTTAAGGCTGTTATCATTCAAAGCAAATTTCAGATTGTTAAACTCTTTCACCTCCATACTTAGGGAGGGTTAAAGCTTTTTTTTTTTTTATTTTTTAATGTTTTATTTATTTCTGAGAGAGAGAGAGACAGTGTGAGCAGGGTAGGGTCAGAGAGAGAGGGAGATCTAGAACCTGAAACAGGCTCCAGGCTCTGAGCTAGCTGTCAGCACAGAACCCGACGCAGGGCTCGAACCCACGAACTGTGAGATCATGACCTGAGCCAAAGTCGGACACTTAACCGACTGAGCCACCCGGGCACCCCAGGGAGGGTTAAGCCTTCTAATGAATAAAATTACATAATATTTTGACAGAAAAGTTTTCTTAAAAATTTTACTTAGTGAAATATCATTTATAAGAAAATTCTCCCAAAGTTACTTAAATTACTTTGGGGCTTTATTTTCTAAAATCATATGCCTAATTTTCTACTTCACATGAAACAGTGGCCATTTCTAGAGATGTTCCTTAATCTGTTGTAGGAAATATTTTATACACTCAATTTATTCTGATTTGTAAATGACTGTTTAAAATATTTTAACCCAATTCTATGTGTATGTCTTTTTTTTTTTTTTAAAGGAGAATCATTCTACACGTGGCTAGAAGGTAAACTTACACATCTGCATTGTAAATTTATTGGTTTCCTATAAAAATGTATGAATTTATTGAATATATTTTAGTAAGTTCAGGATTCATTACCTAGATAACTAATTTTGACAGTGTTTGAAAGAAAATAACATTTTAGGTTGTTGTATTTTAGGATATAATTATTTGAAAATTTTGTGGCTATTTGTCAGCCAAAAATAATCAGCATTAGGGAAAACATACAAGGCAGAGACTGTCAGGTTTTCCTAACTGGCTCCTCAGTGTTATTTTCATTCTGTTTACACCACTCATCCAGACTGCTTTTCTAGTAACCATTTTGCAAATTTACTTTGTAGATAGAGACCTCCTTTTGGGAAGGAAGTACTTTATATATATATGAAAATGAGGGAAGGTAAATTTGATTTCAGAAGATTTTAAACCATGTTTACACATGTTAATATAGTCTAAACTCTTGTAATTAAAGGATAAAGCAGTTTAGATCCAGTAGATACTTTGCATTCTTACATTTTCTGGTGTTGAAAATATAAATGCTATTAATGGAAAGCTGAAGCATTCCAGGATTTTAACAACTTCAGTTAAAAACTGGATATATGATGCTTTTTAAATATTTGCCAAATTGTCATTAATTTATGAAAGCAAAAATCAAAATGTACCAATGAAAGATAAACAAGTTGAATGATACAGGAAAGGGTAACCATATAGGAACTCTGCAGAGTTAAACTAATACTTTATTTTATGTTTGCTAATTGGTGATGTTACCTTGTGAACATGATTTCTCTTTTTTTAATGACTTTATTTTTAAATGTTTATTTTTTGGATAGACAGTACAAGCAGGAGAGGGTCAGAGAGAGAGGGAAATAGAGGATCTGAAGTGGGCTCTGCGCTGACAGCAGCAAGCCCGATGTGGGGGGTCGAGCTCACAAACCACGAGATCATGACTTGAGTCAAAGTTGGACACTCAACTGACTGAGCCACCCAGGCACCCCCTGATTTCTCTTTTTTAATGAAGTGTGTACATGTATTGGCCATTATTAAGGTGAATATTATTGATGTGCCAGTATTACTAGGATTTATATTGATAAATGGCTTATGTGGAAGAAGATTTCTTAATTTTATTTCATTAGCTTGTATTCTGAAGCTACAAATTGTGAAAAGTAGCATTTAAGCTTAAAAGAGGTGGTGAGGGACTCTGAAGATTGATAATGGAGGATGAGAATGAAATTTATGGGCAATATTGAATTCTAGAGTATTCTTCGTTAGCCACTTCTCTGGGGTCCTACTGATGGAAGTCCCTGAATATTGATACGTGATTTCAGAGAACACTCCTATTTATGGGCAACTGATTCAGCTTTTCTGAGATCTAGTTTCCTCATCTGGGGCATGAGATCAACAGTGGCCATCCAGTTCACCTACACTGTAGGTGTAGCTGATGCCTGTAAAAACGCCTTTGAAAATCACTAAACAATGTCCAAATATCAAATAATACTGTTACAGTAAATCTTTTGTGAGAGAGAAAATTATATATCCGTGTCCTGTGATTCACTTATTGAGGAAGAATTTGAATGAAATTAAATCCAAAAGAAAGAGAACCATTCTCTCAATTGGATAGTTGAATTTGATGTGTATTGTTAGAAATAGAGGGTGGTAAATTTTGCCTTAGTAAATCAGCTTTTGGAGATGTGGCTTCACAGTATGACTGTGGGGGCTCTGTCACACCTGGCAGCAGACTGTGGGCCGGGATAAGGTGTCCAGCAGCTTCCCGCAAAGTGTGCTATGTGTCTCGTTGGTATTCTCCATTGGCACATCTTTTATTATTAGAATTTACTTAAAGTTCCCTTATTTTCACAGTTTATGGAAAGACCTTTCTACTCCTTGCTCCTCACTCTTCACCCATCCCCATTCCAAGTAAGGGGCTCTGTAAATTAGAATTGTCTCCTAGTCTGTGTTCTTACTGTTAGGCATGTGAATTTTCACAAGCTTTGCTTTGCTTTGCTCTTCCTGTTTTCCCTTCTCTGGTCTTTAGACATTTTATTGGCTTGTAAGCACTGCTTAAGAGAGGTAGGTTAGAAGGAAAAGAAAGTGAACTTCACATTTGATCATTTTGATACTAGAAGAGAAGTTAGCACGTAATATTTTATCAGACTTATTCATGATGTTTCTATCCCTTGTTACCTTTCTATATACCTTGTTACCATGAGCATTCAAACTTGGCCATATACTTTTAGGAGGAAGCTGCAAAAAAGAACTTAAGTTCTACTTTTTGGTCTCTATCCATGACAATGGGAATATTCTAGCAAAAATTCTAAACTAGCGAATGAGATCTCAAAAGAATTATATTTTCCTAGTAGAAGCTACTTGCTTCACAGCCATATAGGATAGAACATAGGGTACATTGAAGATCTAAAACACCTTGGGGAAAATGCAAAGTAAGCCGCCTGCATACTCTTACGTTTTTAAAAAATCCCTCAGCTTACAAGGGAGGTTATTTCTTCCTTCCCACTCTTGAAGCTCATTTTCCCCCCCACAGGGAGAGTTTACAAAAAAACAAAAAGCAAAAATGACAGAAACAAAAAAAATTCTGTTGGAGAAGAGAAGGAAAAAGCTAATTGTTCTACATTTAGTGGATTCTTAAAATCTGTGTTTTTGCATTTTTATCTATTCCAAAATTTTGCTATAAAGAATATTTTCTAGAATTTTTTCTTTTTTGTGGTGAAATATATATAACAAAATTTACTATCTTAAATACTTTTAAATTTGCCATTTAAATATGCATAATATAAACTTTACCATCTTAACTATTTTAAATTTAGTGGCATTAAGTACATCCACAATGCATATTACTCTTGTACTAAGAGTGAAATGGAGGTAGAGGTAGGGTAGGGTAGTGGAATTATCTAGACCTCTGTTTGAGCAAAAGCCTGCATGGCTTAAGAATGCTACATAAAGTCATTTTCCATCCTATGCCTGCACTCCATCTGATATGATTCTACTCACAAATAGCACACTTTTTTTCTTGGTTGCAATTCCTGGATTACTGTTTTCCAGGTTTTGGCTCCTAACCGTGCACCGTACAGTCCAATGCAACTGGAGAATTGTAGGGGTGGAGGATTAGTAAAACACTAAAGACTGAGGAAGAAGAGAAATGGGCTGCAGTCTCTTCTTCCTCCACAGTCAAGTACGTTCAAAGAAACGACATCCACAGGGAAGGGAAAAGGAAAAATAGTTACTGTTAAGCCAAAGCAGTGACTTTATAACTACATTTGCTTCAGGTTAGCCCAACCTGTGAAATGTCTGTGGCCACTGCTTTCTGGGTAACGTGGGAACTTGCCAAGTACATCCGTTCTGCTTGGACCTCCAGAGCCCAACATTTTCTGTCTCATTCTGCATTAGGTTATCATATTCATAACTCCATTTTGAAGTCAGAATCTTCCAGGGAGAGAATCTTGATCTAATCATTTTATGTTATTCCTTGATTATTTTTAATTTCCTTGAACTTTAAAAATAAGCCTATATACTGAATCTTCTTGATTCAGTATTTCTGTTATCTAAATGGATGTGATTTCTTTTTCAATTTTTTTCTGAATAGGTTTGTGCCTGGAGAAGAGAGTCTTCTATAAGCTTATATCAGGACTTCATGCTAGTATCAATTTACACCTATGTGCAAATTATCTTTTGGAAGGTAATCCCATTTTTATGTAAAAATCTTGCCTTCTATTAATGTAAAAATTGTTGGAGGGGGGATATATATATGTGTGTGTGTGTATATATACACACACACACAAATATATATACACACACACATATATATATTCTTTCTATATATATAAGGATATATATAAAGAGAGAGAAAAAAATCTTATTAAAGGTACACTATGTATTTCTCTTTCTCTCTAGAAACCTGGGGTAAACCTAGCTGGGGACCCAATATGAAAGAATTTAAACGCCGCTTTGACCCTGTGGAAACTAAGGGAGAAGGTCCAAGAAGGCTTAAGAATCTGTACTTTTTATACTTAATTGAGCTTCGAGCTTTATCAAAGGTCGCCCCCTATTTTGAGCGCTCAATTGTTGATCTTTACACTGGAAATGTAGAAGAAGATGCAGACACGAAAACCCTTCTACTGAATATCTTTCAAGATACAAGGTAAGAATTGAGTATCAGCGATCTGCAGTTCTGCACTCTGAATATGAGTGAGGTAGTGCTCGAAACGTCACAGAAAATGATTCCTGGAAGTTAGTTAGGAGGAGGAGGGTTAGAAGTGAGAAGGGAAAGCTCAGTAGGTCAGCAGACCACAGAGCAGCCTACACACACTTGAGGATGATAGCCTGTATTTTCAAACAGAACTTTACATTTTCTGTCGTGTCAAAGTTTAATGCTATTTTTATGTATTCTGCCAGTTTTGTTTTTTTCCAGTTGCTGCTATAAGTGTGATAACATGAAGAAGGTAGATTCCTGAGGGAATGTTAGCTTTGCCTTCTGGAATACACCCTTTTTTAAAAATGCTGAGTTAGTAGAATTTGAGTTTACCGGTTGTTAAAATGAGTGCGAAGCAAAGTTGGATTAACAGGTGTTTAACCTCTGTGTTAAATTTTAAAACCTCTTTTTTATAGAGTGTTGCACGTTTCAACATAAATTGCTTTTAAACTCTTTTTTTGAATCATTTTTTATTATGTAATTTCTTTAAAATATTAGTCTTATAAATTACAGAGCCATTTTTATGTTGCTTTACTCTTTTATTGAGTGGTTTTTATGGAGTAGTTTACATGTGAGCAGTTTGCCACCTTCCTGTGTTACTGAACTTTACACACGTGTAAATTATGAATTGTAATTGTAAGTATTTGTACAAGGGATTTCCATCTGCCCGAGCTCCCCTACGCAGTACTTGAATTTTCGTCTGTAACTTGCAGTCTTGTCATTTCACCAGGTCCTTTCCCATGCACTTTGACGAGAAATCCATGTTTGCAGGTGACAAAAAGGGGGCCAAGTCATTAAAGGTAAAAAGTTCTAGATTGGGGGAGAGGGTGGGGAGAGAACTTTACAGGCTGTGTTTTAATCCCATCCATCTGAGCTCTTCCTGTCCTGTTTACCATCCTGTTGAAGTGGGTCTGATGGGATTTTACTACAAATGACACAGAAAGCCCCTTCTCCAGGCTTTTCAGGTCCCTTCCCTCCTTTCTGGTCTGGTCAACTGCCATTGACTCCGACCAGCGAATGTGGTCCCTTTGCAAACGTAAAGGTCTTTTTAAAGGTCTTCCCTTGAGAACAAGTTTTCTTACTTTAAAATCACAGCATGTCTTACTGTTTTGATTCTAAAAATCATGAATTGTTAGCCATTTTGAAGGCTAACTTTTTCTAAAATTTATTTAATAGAATATCTTCTGGAATGTTCCAGTCTCTGGAAATAATTACTTTTTTGTCTTTATGGACCGACCTAAAAGGCAAAAGATGAGCTGCTAACCTAGGATGTCAGAGGGAGACTGTATTTTAGGAACCATATCAGACTTCATGTGAGGAGCTCTTTGTTTTCCTCTGCCTACAGTATATTAAGGAATATATTGTACCCTTAACATGTTCATAAAAATAATTTGAAATGAACTGGCAAATAGTCTTCTTGTACAACTCCACAATCCTTTATAAGCAGTTCTGAAATCCAGAAAGCTCCAAACACAGAAACATTTTTCTTCTGTTTGGTGCAAATTAATTTGTTAGCAAAACCTGACCGGAACTGATACATGAGTATTCATAGCATTTTTTAAAAATCCCGCTGTGTAGGAATATTCTTACATTTTGCAACAGAAACATTAATGTATTTGATTACGAGGCTTTGCCACACACTCTGGTCGGGTGTTTCATAACAGATCATGTATGTACCGTATTTCTGAAATCTGGAAAATTCTGAAGCACATTTGGCCTGGAGATGTTTTAATTATGGATACACTGCAAGAACTGCTAACTTAGCCCTGAGTGATGCTTCACTCTGGTAAGGGCTTCTTGGGGCTTCTGAAAGGAAGCAGCTTAGTCACAACTGTGTTTTAATATTGGAAGGCTGTTTTTGTTTGATGATTATTTTAGGGGTATGTTGCTGTTGCGGTATTTAATACTTTGTTAATTTGTTTTTGTAATGCATATTTTCTAAGCATTTATACAAATGTTATACTCTTGGGTACCCTGGGTCTTTTCATGGGGGAGGAAGGTGGGAGTGAGAAAGGAACTAGCTTTCAACTAGAGACCGCTGGAAATTGTGTTTGCTGTTTTTCAAAGGTGTGTAAAGGAGAACTCAGTTCACTTTTCCATCTGCTCCTAGAACATGAACTACATGAGAATGGAGAGCAGAGGCCTCGTGTTCTTTCTCTCGCCTTGAGGCTGGGATACTACTGCTTAGGGACCCTGTGGGCAGCCGGTGGGGCTTCTGGTGGCCAGAGTTTTCGGGCCGCTTGCCTCTAGCTTCATACAGTACAATGAAACTTATTTTCTACGCTTGCCAGATGCAGAAGATGAGGAAACTCTGAACTAGTGTTAGCCTCAGAGGAGTCTGGTCTTAGAGTCCTAGAAACCGTGAGGTAGAGTCCCTACTGCGTAGGAAACATGTACAGCACATTACAAGGCCCAGGTGGGCAGCCGTCCCTGCAGAGGCTGACTAGCAAATGTGGGGAGCTGTGCGACCACACCCCGACCCAGCCCTGGGATCCTCGGTGCCGATGGAGCACCCGTTATCATGTGTGGTTTAAGGGGAAGGATGAACATGGAGCACTGGTCTAAGGCCAGCTTTCCGATGTGGCCTCACACAAGCAACACGTGAAAAATCGGCCAAATGTAATAGATGTTTACCCCTGGTTGTGTGCAGATACCAAATTGAGGCAGCAGTGAAGTTCCTTCAGAGCAACACCCACGTTACTTACTTTTGTTTCTTCCACATTGCATTCCTTTGCACAGAGTAGTGCCTCAATAAAACATTGGAGTTAATATGTAGAATGACTTGTATAAATTTCTATGGTTAGTTTTATGTGCCGTGTTATGCCATGCAAACGCAAATGTTTTTCTTCTTCATTGTTGAGAAATTCCTCATTAATAAGCTTCAGTACTTTTATTATAATTCAGACAAATGCAGTTTAATTTTAAGCCTCTAATGAGCATAAAAATATGTTCTGCGTGTTAGGAGGAGATCCGCTTACACTTCAAGAATATCTCCCGTATAATGGACTGTGTTGGATGTGACAAATGCAGATTATGGGGGAAACTGCAGGTTTGTGTCTTGTCTTCTGTTTTAAAGCTATTACCGATCTGAAATTTTCCTGCTGAGAAATTGCAGGTTTTTAGTAGTGTCCTCATTGTTCCTTGAAGTAGAGGATCTAAAGTATGGCTTTCCTGCTGCTTCGATGAAAAAGATGAATATATTAAATCTGTGTTATGCATGTAAGAATGTCTCTCCTGTGTTAATGATTTGGGTCTTATTGTATTTGTTTCTGTTGATACAATCTCAGATTCATTTCTTCTTTTTTTAATGTTTATTTTTGAGAGAGAAAGAGAGAGAGAGACAGAGTATGAGCAGGAAAGGGGCAGAGAGGGAGAGAGACACACAAAATCCAAAGCAGGCCCCAGGCTCTGAGCTGCCAGCACAGAGCCCGGTGTGGGGCTCGAAGCCACATAAAAGACAAGTTCTGCCAAGCAGGCCCATTTCTCTGTCTATTCAGTGATTGTTTGATATTTTACCTTATTTATTTACAAATATGACAAGTCCTAGAAAAATCAGAGATAGAATTATTTTCATGGAGGCTACACTGAAATCACATTTTTCTTTTTCTCTAGTTCTAATAATAAGTTTTTAAGTGTAGTTCTCACTAATAGTTTCTACATTTTGAATTGCTAGGGGCTGTAAAGATCGCTTTCAAGGTTACATATACTGAACACTGTTATCCTAAAGTGATATTTTCTAGGTTAAAAAAAGGCATTTAGTAATTTATATCCAACAAGTGTTAAATTATTCAGGTTCCTTAACAGTTTAGATACATTTATCATATGCATGATGTGTGAGGAAGTAGAAACTGTAATTTGCAGTTTAATGTTTTGGTGAAAAGTTCAGTTCATATGAATTTCCTGACTCTCATCACAGTGACTGTATGTTTCTTTTAACCTTTGTAGTAATTATTATTACAGGAATTTAACTGTTAACATGCATCACTATTTTCTTTAGACTCAGGGCTTAGGAACAGCCCTGAAGATCCTCTTCTCTGAAAAAGAAATCCAAAAGCTTCCGGAGAACAGCCCATCTAAAGGCTTCCAACTCACCCGCCAGGAAATAGTTGCTCTTTTAAACGCTTTCGGGAGGTAAGAACGGTTTCCACAGGGAAGACTGCTTGGATCCTGCTGGCTTCAGCAGGACCGCAGAGATCATCTTCTCTGCTAACGGAGTTTGCTTTGCGTTGTTTGGGTGACAAAAAGACAGAATTCTGTGTCCTCACAGGGTCTGTGCGGGTCCAGGAAAAATTAACGAAGTCTAATCGCCTTCTCACTGTCATGGGGCAGACACTCTCCCAATAATATCTCCTTCAGCTGGCTGCGGCCTGTTTGAGCACGGTGGCAGGAATGAGGAGAGGAAGGCTGGGTTGACGTGATAAAAGAAACAGACGACACCTTCTCACTGCTTTTTCTTCTCTAAGCTGAGGAGGCCTTTTCCCTTCGTTCATTCTTAATCCTGTTCCCCTGGCACGGAGACAGAGTTCGCTTTTGGTTTGAGCACATGGTTTCAAACAGAATTTGAATTTTCCCCCCGAGAGGCCTGCAATAGCAGTGAACAGAACACCAGAATACAGAGCCGAAGGAAAAGAATCCCAGAACATACGAGAAAATGAAGCCGTGCTGCCCCAGAAAGTACAAAGTCAAGTCAAGGAAGAATTGTGTTAAAAAATAGGGAATCACGTGATACATTATTTCTTAGGTTTTTCTTAACTTACATCTTTAAGTTAAAAAGGGGCTATTAAATTAAAAATAAATTGTCCCTTCCTCATCTTAGAAGATCTCCTCTGTTGCTCACGTGTCTTTAAAGGTGACTTTGTAGGTTGGGATTTCAGGCGAGGATAGAGGACATAGGACATCAGTAATTAGTGCTTGATGCAGAATTTAGTTCACCTACTTATGAGTCCTGCGAGTAAGATGAAACAGGAGACACTGAATTAAAGTATTTAAATGAAAAAGATTTTAAAAAATTTAAACATTAAAATTTTTTTTATGTTTATTTTTGAAGGAGAGACAGAGGATGAGTGGGGAAGGGGCAGAGAGAGAGGGAGACACAGCATCTGAAGCAGGCTCCAGGTTCTGAGCTGTCAGCACAGAGCCCGACGCAGGGTTCAAACTCACAATCCATGAGATCATGACCTGAGCTGAAGTCGGACACCCAACCAACTGAGCCACCCAGGCGCCCCTAAACATTTTTAAATCCAAATAAAATTGAGAGAAAAACCGGATGGCTCACTCCCTCAGATTTCTCTGAGTCTCCTAGAGAATATTCATAAATGCAGCCTTCTGGCTCTAGTTCTGTATCCAGAGCCTGGAGTTTCCTTTTATTGTTCTTTAAAGCAAGCTAGACTCGAGTCTGCGGTTTGGAGTTCTGGAATCAGGGCCTGCCGTGTGCTGGTCATGTGCACTCAGGCCATGACTTCGCTCTTGCAGCGTGCGCCCCTGCTCTGTGAAACGTGGCCGGGGCGCACGTGATGATGACCTGAAATTAGATGTGAACGCGCTTTTTAGACTACAGAGTGCTTCCTGAATTCCATAGCAGGTGCTGGCGACGGGGGCGTACAAACCAGAAGCTTCAGTGCCGCTTGTTTTTGAGTATTTAAAAAATTGTCTTTTGTTTCTTACCACATGTGGGGAAACTGTTCTGCTAAGGGCAGCGACACTCAGAGTGTGACAGTCACACAAATAAGGATACGGCCTCACTTAATCTCCTTTTTCCTCCCCAGGGAAACACAAACACTAGTGTATCCACAGGCTTTTTAAAAGCTCTTAACATAATCCTCCTCCCCCCACCCCTAATTATAATAGTAATTCACCGTCATTATAAAAAATTTGGAAAAAACATGAGAGTATAATTTTAAAAACAAACTTAAAAATCACTCCTATTCCCACCCCCCAGGACTATTTCAACGTTTGTGTGTTTTTCATGTGTATTTTTCCCCTACTTCTAAGTAAAATAGTCGTGCGCACGTGTGTGTGTGTGCGTCTGTTAACAGAGTTGAAAGCATACTTGTTATACATATAATTCATTGTCAAGTTGGCTAACATACAGTGTAGGCAGTGTGCTCTTGGTTTCGGGAGTAGATTCCCATGATTCATCACTTACATACAATACCCAGTGCTCCTCCTAACAAGTGCCCTCCTCAGTGCCCGTCACCCATTTTCCCCTCTCCCCCAAACCCCCATCCACCCTCAGATTGTTCTCTGTATTTAAGAGTCTTAGGGTTTGGATCCCTCCCAGTTTGTAACTGTTTTTTTCCCCTTCCCTTCCCCCATGGTCCTCTGTTAAAGTTTCTCAAATCCCACATATGAGTGAGAACATATGATACTTGTCTTTCTTTGACTTATTTTACTCAGCATAATACCCTCCAGTTCCATCCACAGTGTTACGAATGGAAAGATTTCATTCTTTTTCATCGCTGAGTAGTATTCCATTGTACATATAAACCACATCTTTATCCATTCCTCTGTTGATGGACATTTGGGCTCTTTCTATAATTTGGCTATTGTTGAAAGTGTTAACAGCATACTTTTTGTGTATTTTTCTGTTCTGTTTTACTTGGCATTGTATTATCATTTGTCAACATTGCATTTTTTCATAGTGATTATTCTTTTTCTTTTTTAAGAAGAAAATATAAGATTATATTAGTTTTAGGTGCACACCACAATGATTTGCTGTTTGTATATGTTGTGGAATTTTTACCACAGTAAGACTATTAGCATCCGTCACCACACAGCTACACAATTCTTGTTCTTGTGACAAGCTTTAAAGTTTACTTTCTTAGCAACTGCCAAATACATAAGCATTATCTTTTTATTATGTTTTTAGTTCCAGTATAGTTAACATGCAGTGTTATATTAATTTCAGCTGTGTCATATGATGACTTCACACTTGGTACATCACCCTGTGCTCATCACAAGTGCCCTCCTTAATCCCCATCACGATTTAACCCATCTGGCTGTCCCCCCTCCCCTCTGGTGACCATCAGTTCTCTTAGAGTTAAGAGTCTATTACTTGGCTTGTCTCTCTCTCTTTTAAATATATGCCAATATTCTGTTATAAGGACACACCACAGTTTACTTAGCCACTCTCTTAGTTGAGTTTTATTTTTTTAATTCCTATGGATCCTATACATTTACTCTTCCTTAGAGAATATTACAGTTTTTCTTAATTGTTATGGGATCTGTTCATTATATCTTTTACCTAATTATGAGTCCATTTGTTTTTTAAATGTTTATTTTTGAGAGAGAGCACACAAGAGTGGGGGTGGGGGTAAAAAGAGGGAGGGATAGAGGATCTGAAGCAGGCTCCACACTTGTAGAACAGAGCCTGACGCGGGGCTCAAACTCCCGAACCGTGAGATCACGACCTGAGCTGAAGTCAGACGATTAACCAACTGAGCCACCCAGGTGCCCACCCCTCAGTCCATTTAAGTGATAAATGACTCCGGCTACACCAACACATAAAATTATGTTGCACCTTGGGAAGGTTGTACGTTAGTTTTTCATCAGCGAATCAGTAGTTTTCTCTGTCTGATGGGCTATTTAATGCAGCTTTAGCTCCGGACGCCCAGTACCACATTGCTCTGTCACATGATGCCAGTGAGCAGGGACACACATTATCTTCAGTTCTGGCCACTAAATCCTGGAAAATGTGGTTTCTTTACCTTGAATACTCTGTAAATACCTTTCCTACACGAACAGCCATTTTATGCTAGTTTCAACATATCAACTGGTTTCCTTTCCAACAAACATGCAGATATGGCATGAATATACCTGCTGGGTATTACGGTATCCTGCCGCGCACCTCTGAAAGAGAGATGCAGCAGGTAGTTACGGGTGCGCCTGTGCCATCCTACACGAGAAGGTGGCAGATGTCTCTTGGGTAATACGCTGTGAGGTCTGGGACTCATCTCCGCAGACGCTGTGCTCTGATGGTCCCTGGCAATGCTGTTCAGTTTGTGGTCTCTGGGTGAAAGGGCTCCCTGTGGGTAATTTGTGTGCCACCCGGGAGCTCTCCGGTCCTCTGCCGCCTGCAGACCATGAGCGTGCTTTTTCATTCTCAGCACCCTTCCTGCTAGTTACTCAGCTCTCCCTCCTTTAGTTTGGGTCTTGGCTTCCTTACCGTATTTTCATATGTATTTTGGCAGATTTTTTTTTGAAATAGGTACTTTCAGGTACCGCTTGTGATTTTACACATTTATTTTGTTTAATAATCCTATTCTGGTTTTTTTCTGATAACTAAAAACTGTTTCAATCCTTTAATATTCTGAGGATTAGAGTAAGAATCCATTTTCTACCAATCCACACCTTGCAAGCATCTTGCAAGAGTATAAAGAAAATGTTGAGACTTTAGAGAGCATGGACTTTTTGAGAGGCCGTGTGGTCATGGGGTGTGATGGACAGGTGGAAACCCATCTATTAGCTGGGTGACCCTGAAAAATTACTTGATTTATTTGAGCCTCAGTTTTCCTCAAGGTTAATTTTATCTACCTTGTAGAATTTTTTCACAATGACTGAAATATGTGTGTGATGTGCTAGGACATTGTCTGGCATATCCTAAACTTTCAATATAAGACAACATATCAAGTACTTAGAGTAAAGAAAGACGCTAATTTGATAGTGCACACTACACCATCTTCTGTTGTAGAAAGAAAAACACAAGACTTTTATTCTGTCAACCCTGAATTGTGCACATAAGGGTAACTGAGCTTATGGAAAGATTTTTTGGGGATTCCCCTTCCAGCATTTTGGGGCCTGGACCCAGAAGCATGCATGCATTCAGTAACTGAGTCAATGGCTTATTAAACACCTTCAGTATTGATGGGCATATAGGGCGTGGCTATTCACCAGGATATAAATAAACCATCTTTACCTTATGGGGCTAATAGCACCCCCCATGTGGTCAAAGATCCATGTATAACTTTGGATTCCCCAAAGTCTTAACTAATAGTAGTCTATTGCTGATCAGTAAAGCCTTACAGATAGCATAAGCAGTCAGTTAGCACCTATTGCGTATGGTGTATGTATGATGTACTATAGTCTTACAGTAAAGTAAGCTGGAGAGAAGAAAGCGTTATTAAGCAAATCATAAGAGAAAATACATGTACAGTACTGTATTTATCGGAAAAAAAAAATCTGTGTGTAAGTGGCCCCATGCAGTTCACACCTGTGTTCAAGGGTCACCTATAGCGTGTCTGGGGAGTGACAGGGAAGGACTGGACATTTGGAGAGGAAGGAACAAAATTAATTTCTAAGACCAACTGTAAATGATTTGAGATTCTTTGTTGTAATGAGTTATTCATATCCCTGTTCCCGTCGTTAATCTAGACTCTCTTGTTAATGAGTAACATGGCTCCCTTTGCCCCTTCTAAGCCAAGACTGAAGATTGATACCCGTGTGTTTTGTCAGTCTTTAATAATTAATTACAGCATACTCATTGGAAAATGGAAGTTTCATTGTTCAGTGTTGTTTACATTCTTTTATTTTGGATTTTGCTTTTGAGTTATAGCTCCTATCACAGTATCAATGATTTGAAATATGTGCACCTATTAACTGTCCTAATATGTTCTTTTTTTTTTTCCCCTTCTCTAGGCTTTCTACAAGTATAAGAGAATTACAGAATTTTAAAGTCTTATTACAACACAGTAGGTAATAAAGGCTTTTATATGTCTAATTAGAGACATAATGTGACTGTGTGAAGCCTGTTAGTCTTGGACACTCAGCAGAAGGAGACTAATCTTCAAAGACTTGAAGAAAGACTTCTGAACTCTTAAAAGAGGAAATTCAAATGTTCACTTGAATATTTATGATTCTTAATAGATTGTTCAATTAGAGATATTTATAAATGAAGTATATGCTTTTAAAACATGTAAGTTATACTAATTCTGTGTTTGATTTCATGTTTCCATCTGTTGAATATTCTGCTATTGTTTGTTTAGAACTGGTTTTGTTCTTATTCCCTTATCCGTGACTTCCAGTTGTCTGACTTAAATGAACATCCCGAGAACACTGTTAGCAGTCCGTTCTGGAAAAGGAGAGCTAGAGAACAGGTGTTGCTTAGAGCTGATATCAGTGGTGAAAACTTACCCACGATCTTTTAAATGTGTTTGGATGAGCCTTGCCTCGTTCCATGTGGCACCCTCTATGAATGAAGGCGTCGGTGTGATGAATGGCACTTTCAGTGTAAGAATCCCCATCCCCAGGACTTCAACTTCCATTTCCCTGGTTTTTATTTAAGATTTTTAGTTGCTGCTGTTGTTGCTGTTTTGGGCTACAGGCCCTGTTTCAGTAAAGGTGAAAAAGTACCATCCCCTGTGCTAGCTGCCCAGCCGGACCCCACGTGTGTGTCGTGGGCGGGCCCCAGAGGGTCTTCACCTAGAACCTGTACTCTATGTCCATTTCTCCTGACTTTGCCTTTCTCTGTCCCTACTCCAATTACAAAATTTTTGTTCTCTTTGAGAAAGCAAAATACTTGCATAAATACTTGTTTTGCCTTGATAAAAGTTGAACAGGGTTATATGGCTCAGTAACTCCAGCTTCAACCATTAGATACACAAAATTTACTCTTTTAAATTTAGCATTTTTAAAGGATTTTATTTTAGAATACAGTCTATGCAATCCCCTCTCAGCCTGAACATCTTCAGTTAGGTCATGCAGGCAGGCAGCCGAGTTCAAGCCTCCGTGACACTCCCCCTCCCCGCCTCTCTTTTCCTTTCAGTCCACTGCTTAGAGACTGTACCTGTGGGACTTGTACCAACAGACAACTCCCAAGTCCTCAGCTTATTTTCTAAGGCTGGGGTTTAAATATCCTTAATATTTAAAATCTTTTAAAAGGTGTTAGAGGTAGAATGATTAATTTGGAAGGAGGCATCTATGTAGAAGTAATATAGGGACAGAACCTGTGGCTTCTCTGTAGAGTCCTTCAGTCTTTTATGAAGTAAGTGCTCTTAAACCCACCTTTCACCTGCCAGAGTCTGATACGTGTTCATTGATGATTTAGTGGCATATTTGAAATTGTGTTTCGTTGGCTCACCCCTCTTTTAAAAATTCTTTGTCATTCCTTGGAGGGTTATGGCTGAAGGGGAGTAAGGTCTCACTAGTTAACTATTTTCTTACCCAATTTCTAACCTTTATAGACCAAGGGGTATTTTGTTATTGATGCTGGTGACTTTTTTGTTTCTTTGTTAAGTCGAATAAAACAGGCCGGCTTGACTAGAGGGCCTCCTCCACTTTTCCTTTTCATTCTTAGGGATGTAAGTATTTTGCGGTGGGAGAGGGGGACCTTAAGGTAAAAAGTGAGAATCTAAGTCATCTTTTTGGTAAATTAATAAGAATTCTTCTTAGTGTTCATTCAGAGTTTAAGAAAATGTGAAAGTTTTGCACTTTGTTATTACTGTAAGTTTAAAAGTCGTTTTGGTAATGTTTACTGTTCCCTCAGTTAAAGATAAAACTGTTATTTAAATTCTGTTGACTGGAGAAAATCTTTGGTCATTTCCACTTACTGCTTTTTTTCTTTGTGTGATTTGTTTCAGGTTTAGGAAAAATTGTATATTAGAGTGAGTTCTAGGACATTAAAAGGGTGGGATCCAAACTTCTTTTCAAAGTTTTCATGGATGTTTTCACTACCGAGAAAATAAACAAATGAAGTATTCTTAAGCTGAAATTTATGTAACTATTTTACTGCAAATTGGATGGGGGGAGGGGGAGGGCACCTTCATCTTTGTGTATGTACGTATCTCCTGATTGTAAGTACATGTAGGAACGAACCTCTGTTTCGTGCGCCTAGTGATACTGTCTGATCTTCATTGATAAAAACCTGTTTTTGTAAGTCACAGACCCCCGTGTGCAGGGACATGCGAGCACTGAGTGCGTCGTGAAAACACCTGGCTGGTAACTCCTCGCGTGTTTTGTCTTCCTCTCATCACCTGATTTACAAATCCAGCACTTGATAATATAACTGACAGAAATGATTGTACCAGCCGATGAAGTAATGAAAATGAATAAAAAGAAAACAATACCCTCCTTCAGTGGCATGGGTTTTTTTTTCCCCCTGAAGCGGTACCTATGTAAGTTAGAAATACTATATATATTAAAGCTGGTAAAATTGAATGCTTCTCCTGTGTTGATTCTTAGATTATCAAGAGGATCAGCCAGAATACTAACAGTTCTCAGCTTTGAAATTTACGTCAGACATGCTGACATGGTAATGTTGTGAATTACTCAGTACCCGTCCGTGTGCATATGAAACACCGCCGTATTTTTGGACGTGACCTTGGTGCCACTGTGAGAAAGGGCAGCTGCTTCCATCTACGTCAGCATCGCCTCCCGCTGGGGGTCTGGGAACCGCGGGCAGGAAACCGCTCGGTGCGCGCCCGAAGTGCCCACGGCACCCAGGGCCGTTCCCCGCAGTGCGCAGGCGCCCTCCACGGGACCGCGGAGGTGATTTGCTGCCCCGAGCCAGGCCCAGACGCACCTGCAGGTGGGTGTGTGCTCAGCTGGGGGTCTGTCCAGCCGCAGCTCTCATTTTGAACACCGTCCTAATAACCTGCTGCTGTACCCGGCAGACTGTAGAACATGTGAATTAAATGTTTCTGCCATCTTTCTTTTCTTCCCCCCCCCCCCCCCCCCCCCCGCTTCCCTCTCCCGCCTCCTAAATGCTTCCTCTTACGACTGAGGATTTGATTATAGTTTGTGAAGCAGAGAGGACGGACGTGGTCGGGGCTGGCTTCCTGGAACGACGGCCACCAGCCGCCGCCGTGAGGTTCCGCGGGCCCATCGTCTCCAGGCAGCACCAGGAGGTAGGTCCGATTCCTAACCCGTTTTAGGAGAAAACTGAGGAGAAGAGTGGATGGCTAACTTGTCTGTTATCACAGATTGTAGGTCGTGGGACTAACGGTTAAAACCAAAAAGCCTGGCTCCAGGTCCCCTGCTCAGAACGTAGCGTATTTGTCTTATGACAGAAGTTGACATCTTCCTCTTCAACTGAATATTGGGGACTTTTTGTATTTTTTGATTGGTATAGAATCACAAGGCTTTTCAAATATTCTTTAATTTTTCAAATAAGTAATACATTCACATGATTGAAAAACCAAAAACTACGAAAGGCTATACAGTGGAATGTCAGGTTTCTGTCGGGGGCCAACCTCCCATCCCGCGGGCCGCCCCCGCCCTCACCCCTCACCCCTCAGCCCACAGCCTCTGCCCTTGGTTTTTTAGGCTTCCATCCATACAAATGTAAGGTCTTCATTTTACCTCTCATTTTTACCCAAAAAGTAGCATCCTATACATACCATTTGCTTTTATTCACTTAATTTTCCCTGGTAGTCTTCCCACATCACTAGATACTTCACTCATTAAATAAACTTTTTTAAACTAACTGCTTGCTGTTCATAGTGTGAATGGACAATCGTTTAATTATCCAACTCCCTAGTAGTGGACAGGCATCATTCCCCACATATGTAAATAGGAACTTAGAGAATAAATTCCCTGGAATGGAATTTTGGGGTCACAGTTTTACAAATTCACAGCTCTACCTGCAGCTTAAGACCGTGCCTGCTTACCCACCTCCTTACCTATGTGGATGCGGGCTTGAGGTTTGCTGCTCTGATACAAAATTGTGTATTGATGTGTTTTAGTTTCTATTTTTCTTATTACCTGCGAGGCTGACTCCCTTTAACCTGTGTAAGATCCATGTTGTTTGTACTTGATCTCCTTTTGTGTTCCTATCTTTTACACATTTTTCTACTGCATTGTTGATCTTCTGGCAGTTTGTACGAGTGCTTTGTTACAGATATTAATCCTTTGTAACTTTTTTTTTTTTCAATTTGGTGTCTGTCTTGTGACTTGGCTTATTTAGGATAGCTTTGCCATGCAGTTTTTTGTAATGCGGTCCAATACATCAGTTCCTCAGTGGTTTCTGGACTTTGAGTCCTAGTTAGAATCTCTTTTTTCTTCCAGAGCAGTAATCTACCTATCTTTTCTGTTAGAACATTCATGGCTTTCTTTAGGTCAGAATTTTGATTCCTTTGGAGTGTGTGTGCCCTCGAATAGGGTGTAAGTCGTGGGTCCAACCTAATTTCTTCTGCCTGACTGACTACCCAGTTATTCCAGTGCCATTTACTGGCCAGTTCCTCTTGTCCTCACCAGTCTGAGATGCTACATGTATTACGTCTAACACCCCACATGGATTTATTTGGGCTGTTTTCCAGGCCCATAGACTCCAGCACCACAGTTATTTTAGTTACTTGGGGTCTGTGTTTAAATACAGGGCATGTTGGTCATGTTGGTCCCCTCTTCTCCCCAACCTCCCCTTTTTAAAAAAAAGTTTTCTTTAGCTTTGGTTGTTTATTCCATATGAGTTTTTTTTTTTTTTAAATTCTTTAACATACATACCAAGTCAGTGTTTTCCCTGGAGAGTTGCCCTTTTAACCATTTAATGCATCCCTATCCTTTTTATACTTTACCTGATAAGAATCTACTTCCTACTGCCTGCTGTGTTCATGGTTTCAGTGTTCGGTCTGCCAGCATCCTGACGTGAGGGCCACGGCCGGGCATGTAACGCCTGTGTAGACAGAATTTCATCTCCAGGCTCCTGTTACATGACTGAGTTCTCAAATCATTCCTAGAGGCTATCTTTATGTGAAATCCTTATTTCCTGTTGTACTCCACTACGAGTTCTTTACCCAGAAGTTGGTTATCTGTAAGACTCTTCAGAAAACAGGGATAGGCCCTTCGAGGAGTCTTACACATCTCAAATCAATAGACAGTGGACACAAGTGCAAATCAAAGAAGTGACCCTTAAAAAAGACACTATCTGCCACAGGAACGGGACTGGGCTGTTCACTCACTGTTACGGGTGTCAGGACAGTGAACAAAACACAAGTGCCCCTGTCATCATGTCGCTGATGGATTATGTAACCTAACTGGACTTCACCTAGTTTCTAGTGAGGATGTACCACGAACAGCTGACGGAGAGACCATTCTAGCAGAAAAGATGCCTCAGTGTGAACGAATCTTAGTGTCTGCCTGACGATGCCATCAAGTTGTCACAGCAGACACCCCCGGTCACAGCAGAGTCCACATTCTTTGAGCGGCACTCAGATAATTTAACTCCCGGGATGCATTTCCTTCACAGAACACCCCTCCAGACAGGTAAGTGTTCTCCACTGCGTATGTTGTAAGTCTGCAAACCTGAAGCCTGGACTCTGGGCTACTGAATTCAGGGAGGGGACGGCAGGCCAAGGATCCTCAGTGACACTGAGTTCTATTAAGTCAGTTCCTGCCCAAATTCAAGGAGCACCACGGGGCGACCTCCAAGGGACTGCAGGGGCTATTGTTGGGCAGCAAGATTCGTGGGAGACTGAGGTTCAGAGAAAGGGAGGGACTTCGAGGGAAGTCACAAATCTAGCTCGAGGGAGCAGGCCTCTGATCTCCGGGTCTGGTCACTCTCAGGTTTAGAGGCAGAAAACCTGTTCTGGAGGGGCACCTGGGTGGCTTAGTCGGTTAAGCGTCTGACTTTCGCTTAGGTCGTGATCTCACGGTTCGTGGGTTCGGGCCCTGCATCGGGCTCTGTGCTGACTGCCAGCTCAGAGCCTGGAGCCTATTTCAGAGTCTGTGTCTCCCTTTCTCTCTCTGACCCTCCCCTGCTAACGCTGTCTCTCTCTCTTTCTCCTAGAAATAAATAAAAATATTAAAAAAAAAAAAAAAAAACCTGTTCTGGAGATAAAGAGCCCAATGTTCTGAGTGACAGGGTAACCACGCTGCTACAAGTGGGAAGACCAGTTTGGAGGCTCTGCTGGAATCAGTGGTGGCAAGTAGGAGTGGCTTCTGGGAAGAGAGAGCACAGCTTCCAGCCACGGGTAGGGAGCACAGGAGCGCGATCCACCTTTGCAGAAACCGGAGAGATCCCATAGGGAGCTGCTGCTCTGAACCCGAGGACTTGGGACTTGGGTCCCCTCCCTGATGCAGGGCAGCCCACCTCCGACCTCCACACTGAGGGCCCCGCCGTGAAGGCCCAGGCCCCGAGGAGCGGGCGAGCGGAACGGGGAGTCCACACTGCTGTCTAGGTGGGGGCACGGGGACATCTTCAGCGTACTTCCAGGCATCCCGCCCCAGCGGCACGAGGCCTTTCTGCAAACCCCCACTCCGGGCCCAGAGGGGAGCTAACGGAAGGGTGCTGCTGAGTTTCCACACTGGACCCACAGGCTGGCAGACAGTCAGCCCAGTGGCCGGCACGGAACAGGCGCTCTCTGGCCACTGCCAACATTCCGCTCCCTTTATTCCTTCTTAAACGTTTCCTCACTCTAATCACTTGACAGCTTCTGATGAGACTCCCACTATTTTAGCCTGATCCTTTCCAACAGCTCCTCTCTCTGGACCATGAGAAGCCTTAAATAGCATTATGCGTAGTTACAAGTTTTTTTAATTAGTAAAATTCTCACTAACCTGGTTCAAAAAATGGAAAGGCATAGGAGATAGGTCTTTGAGGACACCTAACAAACACTTGTCTAGATTTTATTATACATACTCTAAAGTGAAAAGGTATTTTTTTTAAACAAAGTTTCTTCAGTCGGAAATCTTCAAAAAAAGGTTCACATATTTAAACCCATTTCATTCTAATGTACATTTACCTTTATTAAATAAAAGCAATGTTCTAAAGAAAAATAAAAGCAATATCCTAGTAATCTCTACGATGTAAATATAAATGAGAACTTTTTCCTCGAAGCACTTGTGCTCTAGGATTTACTAATGCTGGTTCCTTTCCACTTAATAGGAATTAATGTTCAAGGCCAACAAAGAGCAATTCTGTTGGGTTTTGGTCCAGGAAGATAGTTGGGGACGCACTAGCAGGCGTCCCTGATGGACGCAGATAAACAAGCACAGTTTTCACAACGTGCCCGATACATTCAAGAGACAACTGGCACAACTAAGTGTGACTGATGTGTAGCGCGAAACCGTCAAAACTTCTTAGGCTCCACAGCCCCGTGTATCACAATCACTGGCTCAATTAAATGGGTTAATTGTAGAAAGAAAGAGCCCACGAAAGGTACCCGCAGGAATAAGCAGGCAGCTCTAGGCCGCCCCCTGCAGGCGAAGGCGCAGGTCCGCGAGCCCGGGAAACCTCACATCAGCCTCGGAGCACGGGGGAGGGGGGAGGCCTTAGTCCACAATTTGCAAGGACTCCACCTCTTCCCCGTTTTTACCTCTCAAATGATTGGCATTTGAATTTCATCATGTTGCCTTCAAACGGGAGGGCATTTGGATATTTTACAGCCAGGAATCCCCAGTCCTTGTCTTCTCTAGCCTTGAGTGTCTCACGTAAGGATGAGCAGCTTTGTCAGTGAACCTATTTCACGACACACTTGGGAGACTGAAGGGAATTTTCATTTCCTTTTTCATATCATACCTGCAGCACTCCATGGGGGACACATGGTCATTTATGAGGAGAAAAGATAGCTTGATACAATCCCATCTTCTATATTCTAAATGTGCTTACAATACTTGTGCTTTAGCAATACTTTTTAAAAAGGGGAACAGAAAAATAGGTTCTTAGGACATTTTTATCCTTTCCAATAAAAAAATACTTCAGATAGCTTTATCATAAAAATACATTATGGCTTTTAGCAGTTAGTGCTAGATGTTTTAATTTTCCTGCCAGTACTAATAGAATGATAATGTGCTGATATAGCCAGAGTATAATTGTACGATTTTAGTGATTTATTATTTAAAAAAAATACCTATCCTTGAATGATCTAATTGAAGTACTTTCTGAAAGTATGATTTAATGTGAAAGTATGATTTAAAGCATAGGCCGGGTCTGCCTTTACATTCTCGTAAGTATTATTAACAAAGACAGTATCACAAGTCAGGTGTCCTAAAAGCTACTTAGAACAACAAATTACAATACACCCAAGGAATGAGTGCAAATTTTAATAACTATTTTCAATGATATGTGATCCCAAGTCTTCCATACACTAAAAGGCAAGAACGCAGTTATGTGGGATTGTGCAGGATAAAGGTGTTCAGTACAAATTAAAAAAAAAAAAAATCACAAACCATTTGACTTGAGATGGCAATCTTAAATACTATCAAGAGAAAGTAGACTTGATCTCTGTAAAATCAATGCCCAGAGATAAATTATTTAAGACCACAAAAAAAAAAGGTGATCAGAGGAAATAGGAGATATTTTGAAATGGTTTCATCATGAAGGGAGAGTTTCTGAATACAGCTTTCTCTTCCTCTGCTCCTCCTCCTCCCCTAAGACGTGAGATTTCGTAGGCAGAGCAGATACTTCCTCTCTGGTAACAGCACTTGCTCTAGTACCTTCTCTCTGGTTTGCAGAAAATCGGAGGATTGAGCCTCCCTGACTGAGGCATGCACCATGATGTTGCATTAGAGGCAGTTCTACTTCTAGAAGATCTTGGCGGTTTCAGATTAGCACCTGTGGCCAGGGAACCAGTATTTCATGACTTGGGTGTCATTTAAATGGAAGAGGACTTCCAAGCAGCCATCTAGAACATGCCCTTCTGCAGGGCTAGGCGGCAGGAATCCTACTACAGAAAACCACCCTTTTAAAATTGCAGCTTCCAACAGGCGGCCCTCAGAGCTATTTAAAAATCAAGTGGGGGGCGGGGGCGCCTGGGTGGCTTAGTTGGTCGCACATCCGACTTCAGCTCGGGTATTATCTCGTGGTTTGTGAGGTCAGGCTCTGTGCTGACAGCTCAGAGCCTGGAGCCTGCTTCAGGTTCTCTCTCTCCCTCTCTCTGCCCCTCCCCAACTCGTGCTCGCTCTCTCTCAATAATTAATACCTGTTAAATATTTTTTTCTAAAAATTAAAGGGCAGTACTCTAAATATGGTGGGAAATTACAGGAAAATGTTGGGACTTTCATACAGTCTTCTGGATCAAGGGCACTTAATACTCATCCCCTTTCAAGAACCCCACCTTTGTTCCTTGAAGGTAAGGAAAGATCAGTCATTTGGGAAAGGCTTGGGCTTGCGGAGGTCCCGAGGGAACGCATATCAGATTTTACTGGGCTGAGAAACCAGGCAAAGTTTCCACATAGAGCAGAGGAGGTTTAATAGTGTAAGTTCCACTCTACCATGTTTTTAACACATCGACTCCTCACCCGAGTGTATGCATTCGTGCCCTGTTGAAAGCAGTACCACCTTTGTGGCAAAATTTAGATTAGTTCAGGGCAAAACTGTTTGGACCTTAAAGAACTCGAAGGAAGGAGCCAATTACCTGGTATGAGTCAGTGGACTTTCTGCTACATTATAGCTTTTAACGCTGGAGTTGTAACTGGCTTTCCTAGATGTCAGCTGTACTTAGAGTCTGTTGAGAAGGTCCAAATCTGCATGACCCGAAGAGGTAAGAATCTGAAGAATACTTTAGTCCAAAAGCCTCAAACCACCATCAGACCATGTACTGTATACTTTTAAAGTGAACTATGCATAAAAGTCTGTGCAAACTACAAACATATATTGCAATAACATTCTCAAAAAATCCTAGTATATATCTTAGCATTATTAAGTTATATAAAATACATCTTTATAAAAGTACAGAATTTTCTTAAAGTTTAAATTATACCCACTGAAATAGGCAGCCAGGCTCACGTTTTAGTACTAAAATAAGGTTTCTATCTCAATTATTGCTTTATGACCTATGGGGCCATTAGAAACCTGTAACAAATAAAAAGTCCTATTTCTTACGGAAAAGTGCCTTAAAATTTCAGCTGTCGTTAAGTTAGTCTCTCTGAAGCCTTTCACTTGAGGAATCGTCCATAAAACTCTTCACTGCTGCCGCCCCTGGCTTGGCTTGTCAGGATCCAAAGTGGAGTCTGGTTGGAAAGTTCCCACGTGTGCCAGGAAGCTGTTCGTTTGCTGTCCCCAGTCATAGTAGTCTGGAGCGAAACTTAAAAAGAAAAAATATTTCTGTGACTTGAAACATTGTACTTCCTTGTGAGGACCTATTTTAGATGGACAGAACTGGGGTTTTGTATAAAGTACAGACCAGCCCAGTTTTTTTATTTTTATTTTTTTATTTTTTATTTATTTCTAGGAGAGAGAGACAGCATGAGCAGGGAAGGGTCAGAGAGAGAGGGAGCTACAGACTCTGAAATTGGCTCCAGGCTCTGAGCTGGCAGTCAGCACAGAGCCCGACGCGGGGCTCGAACCCACGAACTGCAAGATCATGACCTAAGCGAAAGTTAGACGCTTAACCGACTAAGCCACCCAGGCGCCCTGGACCAGCCCAGTTTTTAAAAGTAGCTTCCTGAAGTCCATGTGCAGTGGCCAGAAGTTCACCCACAACAACCTAGTAAGCACTGTACTGCCTAGAAGCATCTATTAGGAGAACCACAGACCAGTTACTGTGTGTAACGAAGTATCCCACCAACAAATTGTATCTGATGGCTCTAGACAGATAACTTCTGCATCAGTTTTGTCAGGGGTCAAGTACCAGTAATACCAGTAACTACCTTGTTGGGCTTCTGTGAGTAAATACCTGTAAAGTGCTTAGAACAGTATCTTAGTGTACAGTAGGCACTCAACAGTGTACATTTTATGTTCTCCCCTCTATGTAGTGGGCAAGGGGTCTTCTTCCACCAGGGGAACAAGGACCCTCTCCGCTCGGGGCTGCCGTTGGCAGGTGAGAGAGCAACACACCTAGCGAGAGGGAAATGCAGTGGGGGAAGGGAGTAAGAGAACATTCTAGGGAGGAGGGTGAGAATGACGTTTGACTGGGGAAGGCCTTGGTTCCTGGCTCACGTCCAGATCTCTCTGTCCTTCCCAGCTGCCGGTTTGGGGGGGGGGGGGCGGGTGCCGTGTTTCCCTGGCAGCGCCGTGGATTCCGGCTGTTCCCTGCTCCCCATCTAGTGAGCAAGCCACGCGTCCCCAGCATTTCCTCAGTCCTGCATCCCTAACACAAGGGCGCCTCTCATGGCTTCCAAGGACGTTGTTGGTAATGAGGAATAGAAAAGCTAGTCTGTGTTCTATCACTCCATCCTGGGGTGGGGGTGGAGGGTAATTCATGTTAAAATGTTAATGATCACCCTTTAAATGTACAAAAGATTGCCAAAAAAATAAGCTTTCATTCCAAGAAACAGATCCTTTCACAGCAAGAGGACAGGGTCCTAGGACCACAAGTAGAGAGGGGCTCAGTAAGCACTAGCTCAGCCCCTTCTTGCTCCTCTCCCCCTACCGGCCCCAAAGTCCCGGGGTCACAGGCTGGAAGAGAGGACATGATGGTCCCCGGGCCCTGGGTGGCGGCTGAAGCATCACAGGTGGGAAAAGGGGAAGGGAACCCAGTAGCTGCCGCCCGCCCGTCTGCCGCAGATGAGGAAGCAGAATCCTGGGAGCTGCACTTAGTCTCTACTCAGGGGCTTCTCTGCCGCGACCCTCCAGCTCTGGGTTACTTTATGTAGGCATTTTCTCTTGGGTTGAATCGGTTTGACTGCTGTAGTCCTCAGCCTACTAACCATGCCTCTCGACCATGAACTAGGGTCTTACCTTCCCTGAAGTCCCTGAGGGGCGATGTTCCAGGCAAGGTCATCATCACTATCGTATCTTCGAGGGTTGTCAAAGAAGTAAGACCTGGGGCTGAATCCATGGCTGGGGACCATCCCGGGGTTGCTCTAGAAAGACAGTGAACTGCTCAGATACTTTGAGACTCTGTCTTCCTCTCGGCAAAGATTGAGGAAGATCTTTCTCTTGGAAACTGAAGATTCGGTGCCCATCTGAACCCAGATGTACCTGCTCAGCTACAGTGTTCGTTTTAGTTGCTCTTGTATTTAAGAGGTGTTAACTTTTTCTTTCCTAAGTATGGACAAAATCTTCTTTCGGAGTTCCCACAACAATAAATTATTGTTTTAATCCCCCACTGAAACACCAGACGCTGCCCAGAAGAGCCAAACTTGAGAGTCCAAATTAGCTATAAACCTGTATAATCAAGTGGGCATTTATAAGTTAAAATAATGATAATGATGAAGTAATTTTGAGAAGGTTTAGATCATTTCCATATCCTGCTTCTGTAATCATTTCATCCTGTTTCTGTCCCCATGCTGAGTTCACCTCTCAAAAAATTTCAAATGACTGGTTTCATTAGGCAGAAGGTAGAAGTGTATTATATGGCAAAGCAAAGCTCGCATAAAATCCAGAATTTGTTTGGCATCGTTGTACTAGTGGTATATTTTAAACAAGAGTCTGAAACAAGGTCAGTATATGATAGGGACCTATATGGAAATTCCTCTTTTTCTAAGACTAATCTAGCCAAACACAGGAAACAAAGCTTATACAAGGTGGGATGCCTCAAAATGTATTATTTGTAGCAGTTCAGGAATGGCTCTGCAGAAGAATGATGTTGGATCCCTAATCTCACACAGATAAAAAAAAAAAAAAAGTAACTCCAAATGGATCAAGGACCTAAATGTAAGACTAAAAACTATAAAACTTTGAGAAGAAAAATGCAGGCACAGATCTTTGTGACCCAGGAATCCGGCAAAGGATTCTTAGAAATGGAACCAAAAGCATGAGCAACGCAAGAAAAAAATGAAATTGATTAAAATTAAAAACATCAAAAGATATCATCCAGAAAGTGAAGAAATAGCCAGAAAATAGGAACAAATATTTGCACAATCCCTGATCTGACAAGGGACTTGTATCTAAAATATACAAAGAAGTCTTACAACTCAATAATAAACAACTCCATTTAAAAATGGGCAAAGGATCAGGGCAGCTGGGTGGCTCAGTCACTTAAGGGGTTCACTTCGGCTCAGGGTGTGATCTCACAGTTCATGAGTTCGAGCCCCACGTAAGGCTCTGTGCTGACAGCTCAGAGCCTGGAGCCTGTTTCAGATTCTGTGTTTCTATCTCTCTCTTCCTCTTGCCTATTCTCTCTCTTTCTCTCTCTCTCTCTCTCTAACATTAAAGATTCCTTATTTTAAGAAAAGGGGGGGGGGCGCCTGGGTGGCTTAGTCGGTTGAGTGTCCGACTTTCGCTTGGGTCATGATCTCGCGGTTCGTGGGTTCGAGCCCCGCATTGGGCTCTGTGCTGACTGCCAGCTCAGAGCCTGGAGCCTGTTTCAGTCTGTGACTCCCTCTCTCTCTGACCCTCCCCTGCTCACGCTGTCTCTCTCTCCTAGAAAAAAAAAAAAAAGAAAAAAGAAAAGGGGGGAGCGGGCAAAGGATCTCAACAGAAATTCCTCCAAGGACAATTACAAACGCCCGACACGCACAGGAAAAGATGCTGGACATCATTAGTGATCAGGGAAATGCAAATCAAAAGGCATAATGAGGTACCAGCCATCCAGGAGATCTAGAATCAAAAAATCAAGTGCTGGGGAAGACGTGGAGGAGCCAGAAGCCTCAGACTACTGTAAGATGGCGCTCCTACTGTGGAAAACAGTCTGGAAGGTCTTTTTTTTTTTTTAAAAAAAAACATGCAACATCGACTTCCAGGAAGATGGCGGAGTAGGAGGGGCCTGAGCTCACCTCATCCCATAGATCCAACCAGATGACACAACAGTGTAAATAATCCAGAAAACAACCCAAAGACTGAGAACAAACACCACAAGTAAACGTAGAGAAGGAGTCCCATCAAAGATGGTAGGGAGAGCAGAGACGTGCTCAGTGCAGGTGGGAAGGACCTGTGGGCACAGAGACAGAACCTTACAGCCCCAAGCCTGTGTGGGGAAGTGAATCCCCATGATATTTGGCTCTGAAAACCAGAAGGGCCAAATTTCCTGCGTTTTCACAACCAGCTGGCCTGAAAGCCTGGAACTTTAAAACTCAGCAGGCTCAGTTCCGAGAGGCTGGAGGGAGAGGGGAAACCGCGTCCCACAAAGAGACAGCACACCAAACATCCTGGAAGCTACAGTTTGAAAGATGCCTGGGGCATACGGGAGGGACAGTTATTTACTAATCTCAGCCTGTAGCAGAGGGACAGATTTCACTGGGAGACTCCTTCGGGAACAAAGGAGCTGGCTGGCACGGGGCATTCGGGTCCCACCCCCCGCCCCCAGCATAAACATAGCCACCTGCGAGAGCCAGGACAGCTCTAGCACCCCTGGGCCTGCCTCATCCTTGGTGTTGTGGGTCCCCTCCCCCAGAAGGCAGTCACAAACTTTGCAAAAGCCGAGTGTCCCTACTGTGTGTTCTGCAGGGCCTGGGTCCTGGCAGCAGCGGTGGGTCACCCCCCACGGAGCATGCCAGCACCTTGTTAAAACTGTAAGCCCTGCCCTCCTGTACACTGCAGAGCGGCCCAGGCCAGCAAGTCCTAGGGTAGAGGACCCGCCCTGCACAACTTCACAGGCAATGCGCATTCCATTTGCACACTTTCGGAGCAATCCAGGCTGGTGGAGGGACATCCCCTCTGTAAAAGGCCCAGCTCCACCTTGTTAAAAGTGCACACCCCACTACTACTTTCAAGGGCAGGAGAAGTAGCTGACTTTTCTAACACACAGAAACAGAATCAGGGGCTCCTGGGTGGCTCAGTCAGTTAAGCATCTGATTTCAAACCACCTCACACCTGTCAGAATGGCTAAACTCAAAAACACAAACATGGGTTGGTGAGGATGTGAAGTAAAAGGAACTCACATGCACTTTTGGGCGGAACGCAAACTGGTGTAGTCACTGTGGAAAACAGTATGGAAGTTCCCTCAAAAAATTAAAAATAGAACTACTCTATGATCTAATAATTGCACTAGTAGGTATTTTCCAAAATACAAAAACACTAATTCAAAGGGATATATGCAACCTTGTGTTTACTGCAGCGTTATTTACAAGAGCCAAATTATGGAAGCAGGCCACGTGTCCACTGAAGACGAACGCATAAAGATGTGGGGTGTGTGTGTGTGTGTGTGTGTGTGTGTCTATATCTATATCTATATATAAATAAAATACTGGAATATTACTTAGCCATAAAAAAGAATCAAATCTTGCCATCTGCAACAATATGGATGGTGCTAGATAGTATTATGCTAAGCAAAATAAACCAATCAGAGAAAGACAAATACCATGCGATTTTCACTCAAAACAAATGAGCAAAGGGGGGAAAAAATGACAAACCAAAAACCAGACTCTTAACTCTAGAGAACAGTTACCACAGGGAAGACGGCTGGGGGTGGGGGAAAACAGGAGGGGAATTCTGAGTACACTTGATGAGGACTAAGAAATCTATGGAACTGTCAAACTGCTATAATTTACACCTGACACTAATACAACACTATATGTTACCTACACTGAAATTTTAAAAAAGTTCCACATAGAGTTACCATACGACCCAGCATTTGCATTCCTAGGCATACACCTAAAAGAAACGAAGACCTATGTTCACACAGAAACTTGTACATTGATGTTTATAGTAGCACTGTTCTTAAGAGCTAAGAAATGGAGGGGCCTCTGGGTGGCTCAGTTGGTTGGGCATCAGACTTGGGCTCAGGTCATGATCTCATGATTCGTCAGTTCGAGCCCCACATCAGGCTCTGCTGACCGCTCAGAGCCTGGATCCTGCTTCGGATTCTGTCTCCCTCCCTCCCTCTCTCTCTCTGCCCCTCCCCTGCTTGCTCTCTCTCTCAAATATTAAATTTTTTTTTAAAAAAGCTAAGAAATGGAAACAATTCAAATGTCCAACAGGTAATTGGTTAAACAAGATGTGATATATCCATACAATGAAATATTACTCAGCCATAAAAAGGAATAAAGTACTAACATGTACTGTAATACAGATGAACCCTGAAAAAATTACGCTGAGTGAAAGAAGCCAGTCACAGAAAACCATACATGATATGATCCCCCTGTAAAAGTCCACAATAGAGAAATTAATAGATACAGATTAATAGTTGCTCAGGGGCTGAGGACAGCAGATGGGGAGTGATAGCTAAAAGGGCACAGGTTTCTTGCTGAGGTGATAAAAAATGTTCTCAAAAGTGTGGTGATGGATGTACATACCTGACTACACTGAAAACCACAGAACAGGATACACGAATGGGTGAACTGCATGGTATGGGAATTCTCTTTCATTACAGCTGTTTAAGCAACAACAAAAACACGGAGATTCTCAAACTTCACAGGGCATTCAAGTCACTCAGGTGCATATTATTTGAAAAGGGGATTCCCAGAACCTATGCCCAGCAGATCCTGATCTAGGTCTAGAATGTGGCCAGAGTCAGTACTGACACTGAGCACCTTGGGACCCCGATGTGGACGGCAGGGAGCCACACCACGAGGATGGTCACATTGGCTTTAGTGACGCCGAATGCAGAGGCTTGTTTATACCAACCGGATGATGGGTAGCGGTGGTAGATAACACTTGAAAAATTCCTCCACCTGCAGTGTGCTCTCTTAAAGTCAATGGAACAGGAGTTGTATTATAATTCCCCCCACACTCAAAGGAATATTAGACTTTTTTCTCCAAGCAATTACTGGAGTTACAGAGAGTAATCAGATTACTATGGAGTCAAGGGAGTCAAGCAGATTAGCAACGTAGCTTCCCCAAACATTCTGCCAAGGAAAGCCACAGCAATTAACGTTATGGACTCAGGAGCCAGACTGGGTTTGGTCCCCGCTGTGTCTCCAACTAGCCATGTGACCCCGAGCCTCAGTTTCCTCATCTAAGTATGATACTACTTTCTATCTCACAGGACTGGCATGAGGATTCAAGTGCTGTTTAGAACCGTGCCTGCACGCATACGCACTGGACTGGACTGCTGTTAGCTATTAGCAAACTCTGCACGTAATAATGGCATTAACTCTGTAGCCCCGCCTGGGGTATTTTAGGAACACTGGTGCTTCACCAAGCCAAATCGGACACTCATGTTACCTGCTCATCGGAGTTAGTCCGTGAGAAGAAAAGGGAGAATGTTTTTCTATTTAGGGTCATGCTTCCTTCCTACTGAAGTCACTTCCTCGTGGTAATTAGGAGGAAGTACTGTGTGGGGCATAAAGGGTGGCCATGACACTAATCTGCTACTGCCGGTGGGAGCCTCTCATGAGTGGCTCACGGAGTGGGAGTCCCGGAGACCTTTCTCTGCAACACCACAAATGTTGCCACAATTCGTGTGTGAAGATGTAACCTGCCTTTTCCATCATCTAAACACTGGCACTAATGGTACAAACGCAGCGGAGAAAGTGCTGGCGGCTCAAAACCTGCTTCGGATCCTCTGTTCCCCTCTCTCTCTGCCCCCCGACCCCGCTTTCTCTCCCTTAAAAAAAAAATTAAAAGATGGTCTTTGACAAAGAGGAAGTTATTCGTTGTATTAAATCTCAAGCCTTGGGCTTTTTTTTTTTTTTATTTTGAGAGAGAGAGAGAGAGAGAGAGAGAGAGAAGTGGGGCTGACGCAAAGCAGGGCTCGTGCTCACCGATGTGAGACTCAAACTCACGAACCATGAGATCATGACCCGAGGCAAAGTCAGATGCTTAACAACTGAGCCTGTCTTTTTACTACGTGTTGTGACAAAATGGAACATATGCACACGACACTTCTGCTGAGAGAGAGCTATTTTCAGGAAAAGACTCGGAGCGGTGTGAGTTTAACTACCTTCTTCCATGCAACTTAGTGACTCAGACAGACCATGCTTCTTTAGACATGGGTGTTTGGCAGACACTTGAAAGTAAAGGCAAGAATGGGTGGATGGCATTTGTTGTCACTGATCACATTTGAGTTAAGCCATAATTAAAGCTTTGGGAAACCTGTGTTCCCCACCATGAGCCAGAGGGCATCCCAATTCTTCAAGAGGTTCCTGATGAGATGAGCGGTGATATTTAAGGAATGAATGTTAGAAGATCTGCAGAACTCAGTAAGCCAGTGTCTTCCCGATGACCAGTGCATCTTACAAACACCGCATGGATAAAAGGTCCATTCAAAGTGCAAGACAGACTAAGGGACGTCAGGGTACGACAATCTGAACAGTTCACTGGTGTGGTTCTAGGGTCCATACTGCACGTAGCTTTTCAGAAACCACGACTTGCTAGTTTTGATGCGTATCAAAGAAAAATATCCACAATTACGTTAAAACTTATTAAAACGTTCGACTTCACTGCGACCACGTATCTCTGTGAGGCTAGATTTTCTTCATCTACTCAACCAAAACAACATATTCCAACAGAAGCAGATAGAATCCAGATGTCTTCTATTAAACCAGGCCCAAGCCCCCCAAAATTTAAAACAATGCTATTCATCTATTTTGGTTTGGAAAATGTTCTTTCTCATTAAAAAGTTAGAGTAATATTATTTTTAGTGAATTAATTTGTTTAATGTTTATCCATTTTTGAGAGAGAGAGAGAGAGAGCGAGCATGAATGGGGGAGGGGCGAGGGGGGGAGAGGATCCGAAGTGGCTTCTGTGCTGACAGCAGCGGGCCTGATGCACGGCTTGAACTCATGAACCATGAGATCACGACCTGAGCTGAAGTTGGAGGCTCAACCAACTGAGCCACCCAGGCTCAGTTGTTTTTAAATTACACACACACATGCACACACACACACACACCCTTCCAAACAAGAGCCTTTGGGGGTCCTCAGTAATTTATCAGTGCAACCCCTAAGACCCAAAGCAATCTCGAGAAAGAAGAACAAAGCTAGAGGCATCATGTGCCCCATTTCAACTATATTACAAAGCTACAGTCATCAAAACAGTAATGGTGTTGGCATAAAAACAGACACACAGCTCAATGGAACAGAACCCCATGCTTGCAAGGTCAGTCACTTTATAACAAAGCAGCCATGAATACACCATGGGAAGAGGACAGTCTTTTCAACAGATGGTGTTGGGAAAACTGGACAGCCACATGGAAAAGAACGGAACTGAATGACCATCTTATACCAAATACAAAAATTAACTCAAAATCGATTAAACTACTTGAATGCAAGAACTGAAATGATAAAACTCCTCCTAAAAGAAAACACGAGTGAGCTCCCTGATGTCAGCCCTTGCGATGATGTGGAGTTGGTACCGAAAGTAAATGAGACCAATGCAAAACCAAACAAGCGGGACCACATCAACTAAAAAGCTTCCGTACAGCAAAGGGAACCATAAACAAAATGAAAAGATAACCTATTGAGTAGGAGATGTTTGCAAATCATATATCCAATAAGGGGTCAGTATCCAAAATACCTGAACTCCTACAAGTCAACAGCAAAAACCCAATGAAAAACAGGCAAAAGACCTGAACAGACATTTCGCCAGAGACCTACAGGTGGCCAACAGGTGCGTGAAAAGATGCTGGACCTCACCTGTCATCAAAACAAATCAAAACCACAGTGAGCTACCACCTCACACCTGTCAGAATGGCTACCATGAAAAAGACAAAAAGTAACAAGTGTTGGCGAGGATATGGAGAAAAGGAAACCCTTGTGCACTCTTGATGGGAAGGCAAACTGGTGCAGCCACTGTGGAAAATGGTTCCTCAAAAATTTAAAATTGAACTACCCTACAACCCCATAATTCCACTTCTACCCGTTCATCCGAATAAGAACATTAATTTGAAAAGATACACACACCCTCATGTTTGCTGCAGCATTATTAACAGTAGCCAGGACGTGGAAACCACCTACAAGGTCATCAATGGATGAAAAGCTAAGGAAAATATATACGCACTGGAATATTACCCAACCACAAAAAAGAACAAAATCTTGCCACTCGCAAACAACATGGATAAACCTTGAGGGCATTATGCTAAGTGACATAAGTCAGACAGAAAACGATAAACACCATGTCATGTCACTTAGGTGGGCTCTAAAAGGAAATAAAGAAAACCCCCATGGATATAAAGATCAGATGGGTGGCTGCCTAAGGTGGAGGATGGGGGGGTGGGTGAAATGGGCAAAGGGGGTCAAAAGATAAAAACTTCCAGTTACAAAATGAGTAAGTCCTGGGGACGTCACGGACAGCCTGGGGACCACATTGTCCTGCGTATTTGAAAGAAATTCAGAGTGTGGACCTGGAAAGTTCTCCTCACAAGAAAAAAATACCTGTAACTACGTAGTGATGGATGTCAGTGGGACTTACGGTGATCATTTTGCAATATCTGCAGATATCAAACCATCACACTGTACACCTGAAACTACTATGTCAATTACAGATCAGTAAAAATAAATTAATTCATGTAAAGTGTTCTGAGACCCCAAAGTTTAAGAACCACTGCTCTAGAAAACAACAGAGCTATTCCAGGCACTATAGCCAAGTAACTCCAACTACACGCAGTATGCTAAGGACGACAGACGACATAATGAGACATGACAGTACAAGTTAAGACGCTATTCTGTGTTCATTTAATAAAACAGTACTTTAAACACTATCAGATTAGCCTTTCTCTCATTAAATTCGGACATCCACTCTCCTCTTCGGGCTGCCTTGGGCTTAAGGACCCCAGTTCTGAAGCCCATGAAACACAGGGAAGTGATGAAAAGGCACATACGAAGCCTGGGTGAGGCCTTGATGGGCATGGGGAGTCTGATTAAGAGACCTCTTCGGTATCCCTCAGTCAAGCAAGCAAGGCACCCAGAAAAATTCAGGGAAGGAAAGAAAACAAGGCAGCTGGGCTCCTGGCCCAGAACCCACTGCCTGCCTGTCCCGTCTCTTTGCCTGTGAGCCCAGAGCATTTAGGATGTGACTGTACAGACGCCTCTGGCTGTTCCCAAAGCAAGTGAAGGTCGGATGAAGTGCAGGGCCACTTCCTAAGAAATCATGGAAGAGGAGGAAACAGACCCCGAGGTCTAGAAGATGCTGCCCACCTGCCTGGTCTGCGGGGGCCTCGGTCAGGCTGTGCTGCAGGGAAAACACGGTGGGCTGGCTATCATGCCTGTGCTTTTCCGTCTCACCCACGCTTGGCTCACACTGGCCAAAACCCACTCGCTCTACTTTTCCATGGGTTTCATAGATCAGTGACTCAAAATTCTAGCACTGGTTGGTGTGGCTGGAATAATTCACAAAGCCAATGCTCCCAGGAGTTTCCTCACTCCAGCAAGTTGTGCATTTTCTGTCCTGTCCTCACAAAGACATTTATATGAAGCTGGCTGAGTGGAATTGGGACCAAACAGAGAGTGGGGTCAGCATTCCTCACGGTGTTTCTGTATCACCGCGTCCCCTACTCACTGTAACAGGGATGAAGAACGGGAGCCCCATTTTCTATTTCCCTTTGCTAAAATCCAAGCTTATAGATGGGGTTGGCCCCAAGGCAAGGCTCAGATACCAATGAGACTGTTGTTGCTTTAGGAAAAGCTTTAGCTCCAGGCCTTGAGATGCAACTAAAAGCGTTAGCTGAGAAATGAACTTCCTTTGAAAAGAGTTAAGCAAAAAGACAGTCACAGACAGATCAAGGAAATTTTTATATCAAGACAGGATGGGAGACACGCGACTAAAAACCCTAAGAAAAAAATCAGACTGCACATTTTGTGACTAGAAGCAGATCTTTCCTGCAAACATCAAATGATTTACTCACAAGATCCTTTGTAGGGTTTCTAACTCGGAAGAAGTAGACGACCAAGGTGGTGGGTAAGAGCTCCCACACGAAAAGAACCACTCCAAACACCACGTATCCGGCATCCCCCAGCTGGTTTTTCAGATCCGCCTGTGGAAAAGAGAGGGAGGAAATGGAGTCACCTGACTGAGGGTGGAGGAAAGAAGTCTGATTTGATTCTTCCTAACATGAACAGAGACTAATTCTAATCCTGTGATGTGTATGCTGAAATCAGGCAATACTAACAGTCCAGACCTCAGGTGGGGACTTATTTTAGCCACACAGGAGAGAGAATTATCATCTTCAAAAGAGTCAAGCACAGAAACTGCCCATCTCTGATGTCTTATTACTCTACCCTCCAAAATCTTCCTTATATCCATCCAAATTAAGTCTCCTGAATTGAAGCTGATTTTCTTTCCTTCAACAATCAAATAATGAGAGGTTATGTCACCCCCTTCCCAATTTTTAAGAGCAGCACGTAACTGTGACCCCTTGTCTCATTCCTGGAATAAACACACAAATGTTTTTAACAGGGGTGGGGGAAGTGGAAGAGGGGCAGAGAGAGAGGGAGAGGGAGAATCTCAAGCAGGCTCCATGCTCAACATGGAGCCAGATGCATGGCTCGATCCCACAACCCCAGGACCATGACCCAAGCCGAAATCACCAACTGAGCCACCCAGGCACCCCAATCCATCAATTTTTAAACTTCTCTTCACATTAACCATCTCCTATTCTTTACCCTTTAAAACTTGTTGCAGGCTAGACTGTCTGGAAACAACTGTTCAGGGCCAGGACATTTGTCTGGATCAGTGAGACAGCTGATTGGGCCTAGTGTGTAGTCTCTTCCCTCCCTGCAGGGCACAGGGCGGGCCTGTGAGGAGCACACACAGTCGTGTCTGGGAAGCTCCGCCAGAGAGGCCAGCATTTCAAACCAAGACAGTGCACCAAATCAAGCCACAGCAGGCCGATCACCTCAACTTAATCCTTCTGCCTTGTCCGTTACATGGTATTTGAAGTACAGTAACCAGTGCTAACCATGCCACTCTTCAGAAAGATCACTCTCAAGCTTTGCATCTTATGTCCCATTTCTAATACATCTCAGTAGTACGCTGTCCCTTCTATTCATTCTACACAAATAATGGGCAACTTGTGGCCACCTGTTAGGTTTGCTGCTAGATTCTTTTGGTTACAACACACAGGTCTAGCTATTCATGAACAAATATCCCCCTAAAAAAACATCAGAACTTTCAAGATTGTGGTATTTTAAATTTGTTATCATCAGAAGCCCTTAGTTGAAAGAAAAATTGAAGTAATTATTTTGTTAAAACTTAACCTCTGTTGTTCAATGGGTATGAAGTTTCAGTTTGGGAAAATGAGCAACATCTGGAGATGGATGGTGGTGATGGTTGCCCAACAATGGCAATGTGCTTAATGCCAGTGAACTGTACACTTAAAAGTGGTTACAACTATAAGTTTTAAGTATATTTTACTCCAATGAGATCCTTTGTGTTTTATGAATAAGTCTCTAATTTATTATTGCTTAAAATTTACACATACGTGTATATATATATATAAACATATACATATTTCATATATATATTAAATCTATTTATTTTGAGAGAGAGAGAATGAGAGAGAGCGAGCACACAAGCAGGGAGGGACACAGAGAATCCCAAGCAGGCTCCATGCTGTCAGCACAGAGCTTAATGTGGGGCTCAAACCCACAAACCATGAGATCATGACCTGAACTGAAACCAAGAGTCGGACGCTTAACCTACTGAGCCACCCAAGCACCCCAAAGTTTTAATTTTTTTATATTTGATTTTCTCAAAACAGGGCACACCTTCAGCAGTGCCCAACTTTCTACCATCCTGCACATGTGGTATTGGTTTCGATGGTGGTGGCTGTTTTAATCCTTTCTAATTATAATACCTTCCATGTGCCTCTCCTTACATGTTTATCATGGTCAGTTAATGCCTTCATCCAAGGACACCTGGGTGGCTCAGTTGCCTGGGCATCCAACTTTGGCTCAGGTCATGATCTCACAATCCAGGAGTTCAGGCCCCAAGTCAGGCTCTGCACTGACAGTTCGGAGCCTGGAACCTGCTTCAGATTCTGTCTCCCTCTCTCTCTGCCCCTCCCCCACTCATACTCTGTCTCTCAAAACAATATATAAAATAAAAACAAAATTAAATAAATAAAATAATAAAAATTTTAAAAATTAATAAAGTAAAATAAAATAAAATAATGCCTTCCTCCAGCATCTTAATTTGGTCCAGGTTCTGAGCACCATTGGGATTTGTATATGGCTGAGTATTCAGTATTGTCCAGGAAAAGTTAAAGAGATTTTGCAATTCAATCCAGTAGACTCTCGTCATAAAACAGAAGTTCTACTTCTCTCTTGTATGGCTTATCTATGTGTGTGTTCTCCTCAGTGGACATAAATAGCTCCCCCAGGCAGGCAGGGAGTCTGTGCTCATTCGCCACTCAGTCCAGGACTGAGGACAAAGCATCACTATTTCCCAAATGAGGGGATGCAGACTTCCGCTCGGTCTTTTTCATTTTGAGCTTTTGTGAACAAGCTGTGAATGCCAGATGATACGTCACTACCTTTGTTCGTTGCTTTATAATTTATGAGTTTCTAGAACATATTAAATGAGAGAATATCAGATGGAGACCATTGTTAAAAGGAGCTTTTACTAACACCTTAGTATCCCCAGTCATTTTTGTCTCAATTTCTCCAAATGCTGTTGTTTACATGCTCCATTTTTTTAAGTCATGGTTTTACATATTTTCCGAAACCCGCATACACTCTGTTTTGCCTTGGTAAATTTTACCTTTTGTATTAAAAAAAATTTTTTTTTAATACTTTATTTATTTTTGAGAGAGAGAGAGACAGCATGAGCAGGGGAGGATCAGAGAGAGAGGGAGAACACAGAATCTGAAGCAGGCTCCAGGCTCTAAGCTATCAGCACAGAGCCCGACGCAGGGCTTGAACCCAGAACCATGAGATTGTGACTTGAAGTCGGACACTTAACCAACTGAGCCACCCAGGTGCCCCAATTAAATTTCACCCTTTAAGAAAACCATCTTACATTTATATGGAAGCACTTAAAATTTTTAAGTACTACTTGACAAGAGCCCCAGAAAGGAGAAAGGAGACGTGTGTGCATGTCTGCGTGTGTGCGTGTCTGTGTGTGTGCGGGCACAGATATATGCTAGTTTTCTCAGAAATGTGAGCTGGAACAAGCCAGGTACTATGATCCCATTTTTACAGATGAGGATGCAGATACCACACAGGTAAGTCACTGTCAAGGTCACCCAGCTATTTAGCAGCAGAAGCAAGGAGCTAGCTTATACCTCTCTGCCACATGGGATGCTGCGAAGCAAAGAGTCGCCGTTCAGGTGACAGCTCGCCGGCGCCCACTGACCTGGTCTGATACATTGTACCAGTCGTAATCAAAGGAATGGACGTTCTTGCTCTGAGAAAACGAGAGGATGAACAGGTTGTAGCAGGCCCGGGAGGCGTAGAGCAGGATGACGGTCACTCCGATGGCAGTCACTTGACACACAGAGGAGCCCTGGAAAAGCGGGAGCCATGAGGGCTGCGCCCATTCTGGGTCAGGGACACCAGCCTCCTCCCAGCCTGTGTTCAGACCTAGTAAGCCCTTCGGATCTCAGAGGCACGCACTGCGGTGTCCGCTGAGCTCCATCAGAAGCCTCCACCCTCAGACAATAAACCCAAGCCCAAGCTTCATTCCATCCCACATCCTCTCTAAAAATTGCTTTAAAGTTTTTAATGTCTTTTTTTAAATTATTTTTGAGAGAGGGAGAGACAGAGAGCAAGCAGGGGAGGGGCAGAGACAGAAGGAGACACAGAATCTGAAGCAGGCTCCAGGCTCTGAGCTGTCAGCACAGAGCCTGATGCAGGGCTCGAACCCACAAACTGTGAGATCATGACCTGAGCTGAAGTCGGATGCCTAATGCCCAAGAGACTGAGCCACCCTGGTGCCCCTCCCCTTGCAACTTTCAAATTATCTTCATATACATGCTTCAAATTCTGGAAGTTGATTTGGAGATGCCTTAAAATATGGGCCATTTGGCTCAAGTTAGGTTTGTAAAAATAAGAAAGTGGCTTATGTTGTTCAGTCTCCAAGACAATCCCCAACTTATGAGCCCAGTGCGCAGCCACTGGCCCAGGAAGAGTCCATCTAGGCAGGATGGCAGCTGGGAGAGCGCGGTCCTCCTGGCGGTGGCTCTGGGCAGGGTGCCCTTCCTCAAATTCCAGAATCTTCTAGGCCGGAAGCACTGGAACCACAGTGTCACTCCAGACTTGGAATTACATGTAAATCGGTGATTTGTTCCCCAATTTATCAAGCCATCAATTTACAGTCAAAGGGCCCCAGCGAGAAATACATACTTCACAGACAACCAAACCACTGAAATTGGTTTTTGAGATTTGCATGTGAAAGTCACTAATTAACGATTTCGCCAGTAGTTTATTAGCCTGTTTGCCATGGGGTGACCTAAACGGTAACTTGACACTGAAATTTAACCCTTTCTGTAAAAAACATAATTCTGATCTTTGTGGGTTTTTTTCTTCTCAAAAATTTCTTTCAGTGTTCACTTATTTTGAGAGAGAGGGAAAGAGTACCCAGGGGAGGGGTGAAGAGAGAGAACTTACAAGTGAAAGAAACTACTCTTGCTGTACTGAAGTCTTTTGGGATTTAGCAAGAGGCCAGCAAATCACAGGACGGCTGGTTATGGCTCTGCGTTTCTGGAGTGAGAGGCACAGATTGTAATCTCCCGGCCACCGCCGAAGACGCGACACTGCGGGAGACAGAGCTGCCTCCCAGTCTTCAGACCACAGCCAGGTGGGCGGCGTGGCACAGGAGGCAGCCAAGGGGGTCTTCACGGACACGGTCACGGAGGGCGAGAGCAGGGGAGCTGCGGAAATCACTCAACTGGTTTACAAATGAGGAAACCAAGGTCCACAAAGGTGAAGTGACTGGTGTCCTGGTGCTTCTCCTGGCCTCCACCCTTCACAGAGCTTCTCGACAAAGGGAGACATGGGATCAGGCCGCTGGGGGGCACTTGGGCACCTCAGGCCCAGGAGCATGTCTGCCCTTTTTTAATTTTATTTTTTTAATGTTTACTTTTGAGAGAGAAAGAGAGAGACAGAGTGCTACTCGAGTAGGGAAGGGGCAGAGACAGGAGATACTGAACCTGAAGCAGGCTCCAGGCTCTGAGCTGTCAGCACAGAGCCCGACATGGGGCTTGAACCCATGACTCACGAGATCATGACCTGAGCTGAAGTCGGACAGTTAATCGACTGAGCCACTGAGGAGCCCCTGTCCTTTATACCTCTGGGGAAAGGAAGGAGAACACCGAGATTCTAGGGTGTGCCCCACGGCAGCAAAATGGGTGAAGGGGCCAGGAGCTTCCCTCCCATGGCACCTGGCTCCCACCCTGACCAATCAGCACGAGAGACAGACGTTGTTCTGAACTCTGGGGGGAGGTGTCCACACTGGAGTGTCCACCACCTCCAGCCCAAATTGCAGCTGACAGACCCCGGGGCCAGACTGCCGGGTCCCAAGCTTGGCTGTCCATCCCGTGACTGCATAACCCAGGGCGAGCTCCTGACCTCTCTGCCCTGGCCCTGCTGTCTAGAAAGTGGGGAGAAAACCTACTCCCAGGATCTGTGAGAACTGCATTAGCTTCCCCGTGTAGAATGCTTCTCTTCTATCAAAGTGCCTGGAACGCAGGGGTCACCGGGTGTGTTTCTACTAATATTTCTACTAATATCAGCATGGTCAATCCTGCCGAGTCCTTTAAGATGCTGGTTAAACACTGTACCTATAACCAGAGGTGACCTTTCTGCAGTAACTGCACACCCACCAGGACACTGAGTCAGCTTGAATGGAACCCTCTGTGCATTCAAAGTTCACAGACGACACAGCTCCGTGTGTCGGCAACCACAGCACGGCTAATCATTTCTAGGAAGGCAGGTGTGAAAGGTATTTGTTGAGTTTTGTTTGCAACCAGGAACTAGTTTTAGAACAAGTCTGCTGAAGGGATCTTGACCGCCATCCCACCTACCTTAGACTCCAGATAAATGTTGGCTAAGGACATCTTCGAGATTTTGTAGAGACAGATGGAGAGCGAGACGGCACACAGCACGAAGAGAGTGTCATTGATGGCCACACGCACGGAAACAATGACTTTCCTCTCCCAGTTTCCTGTCTTCACCAACACCGCGCAGGTTAAATTCACCAACAGGAAAATGAGGCTGATGAAGAGCGAGGCCAGGTAGAGGGGTAACCTGGAAGGGACCAGAGAGAAATGTCAGGTGCCGCGCCCTGCACGCTGGCTATATGTTCTGGATCCCCTGGGGGCCTTAGCGTCGTCATCTGAATGCAGACTAAATAACACCAACTTTGCAGGGTGGTGTTGAGGACTAAGTGCATGTGTATACAAGGTTGTACACCCTAAAAAAAGTCATGGATGGAGGGGGAGTCCGGGTGGTGCTCACATTTACCCAGGGACACTCACTACTGAGGCAGTAATCTGTAGTCACTGCAAACCTGCCCAAGCATCTCACTCGAGGTTGAACAGATACAAGCTTCTAGGTCATTGCCAATTTTCACTTGTAGCTTCCTGGATCTATACATTTGAAAATCCAAATGATGGAAACCGTCAGCTAACAGTGGTTTTGAAGCTACAGAGTGATGCTGGTGTCTTCAAAAGCTGTAACAGACCTGGACACAGAACCTCAGATTGTAGTCCCAGCTCCAGACCTCACGTCACCCACAGGACCCATGGAGGGAGGGACAGAGGGAGAAAGAGAGTATAAGTAAAGGGTGAGAAAGCCAGGCATAAGTCAACACTGACTGTGATAGGACACGTTTCCATCTTGGATTTGCCCACAATGGCAACCAAGCCTCCACTACAGCTTCTCTCCTTTCTATGACCCTGCCTTGCCCTCATCTGCCTAACATGACCCAGAGAGGAAGGGCGTGGGAGACACACAGAGCTGAGTCGGGCCAAACTCTGGGCCACTCTGGGCTGCACGCCCTTATCTGTGAAACAGAGATGAGAACTCCTGTTCTGCCTCAAAGAGCTGCCATGGAAATATTCTTGTTTCTCCTCTGTCCTCACCCCCAAGGAGCCTCACCCCGGCCTCTCCTACTGCTCGGAAAGTCTTCACCTCTTCCTGTCATTCCTTCCTCCGCAGGTGCTCCCCTGCTGACCCCACATTCTCCCAGGCCCCCAGGCCCCCACTCGCCAAGCCCAAAGGTGGCAACTCTTGGCCGCCATCTTTCCCCACCTTCCTGGGGCTCCCTAGTCCTTCACTCCAAAGCCCTCTCCTGCCTCCTGTTCCCCTGAGCCTGCCCCTTGGATTGCCCTTAGTTCCTCTTCCTCCTCCTAAGTGACATCTTTGGCTCTCACCTCTACCCTAGTTCCCTGGGAAATACGTTCACTCTTACAGCTTCTGTACCACCAGGTTCATAAAGATCTTGTCTTGAGCCACTGCCCCCGTCCTACAACCAGATCCACGTTCCAAAGAGCCTGTCACCTTGGACCATGTCCAAGCCTAATTCCCGATGGTCTTCCTCGAGCACTTCTCTGGGTTTTCCTGTTTCTGTGAAAAACACCATCAGTTTTTAATTTTTTGGCAGACTCCTAAACTATAAAGGTCTTCTCTGATTACAACCCTGGTTTGCTAAGCTATCAAGGTCAACAGAGTCTTTATTCCTGCTTCCCCATGTGCCCCCTTCTCCACCCTCACCAACCACATGGCCTCATGACTTCTGTCTAGAACCAATGTGCTGGTGTCTAGACTGCCCTGCATCCTAAACCCCACCCTAAACCCTCCTCCGCCGCACTCGCAGTCAGTCTATAGGGCCAGGTCAATCAGCGGGTGCCCCACATGCTCATTAAGCTAGTCTGTGTATTGTCCTGAAGCCCACACAGGTGTCCCCACCTCCCCTGTCTGCACCCAAGCTGATCTTTCTGCCTAAAACCTTCCTGTCCCTTAATTTCTATCCCGGCCTGCTCTCTGAGCTTCTAGGACCACCTGCCAAACAGAAGCCTGTTAACTTTTTTTAATGTTTATTTTTGAGATGGAGTGGGCAGGGAGGGGCAGAGAGAGAGAGAGACAGGATTTGAAGCAGGCTCTGTGCTCAGAGAGGAGAGCCCCACGCAGGGCTCGAACCCATGACCTGGGCTGAAGTTGGACACTTAACCGACGGAGCACCCAGGAGCACCGAAGCCTGTTTTTGTCTTAAAGAAATAGGCTGCATTGTAAGACTTGAAACAATATAGACAAAGAACTTTAATCCAACATTAAGGTAAAAGTCAGAAAGCAAAATCGTCAATGTGGTAAACAATTCAATCCTGGGAAACGTATATGAAAACCTACAATGGAAAACATCACTGTATTTCCTCAGGGCTGGAGGGGGTTTATGCCGGGAGGAGAGAGCGGGGAGCTCAATAGATTTGGCTTCTTTCTTCCCTCAGGTCTATCTTACCAAGCTTTCGATCTTTTTCTATTTTATCATTTTTTACAATGAAAAAAAAACCTTGCAAAACTTCACTCCCCCCCACCCCGGGGCTGCAGCTCTGCAGAAAAGGGAGAGATTGAGGTGGTGGGTGGGGGTGCAGAACAGATCCTAGGGCAAATGTATGTTTCTATGGTAACAACATTGTACACACTGCCCCAGAATTACTGCTTTTCAACTCAAACCACAGGGTCAGGATAAATAGCCTATGATGAGAAAAAAGGCCAACAGAAGAGAAAATCAGTGAGGCCCTGCATCTGGGAAGATGACTTTGCTCATGAGCCCTGAGGGATCAGCTTCTGGCTGGTCTACAAGCTCAAGAGATGGGGAGACATCTTTAAGGTGGCTCCTAGACTGCTGCCCATGGGGGGGCGGGGGGGGGGCGGGGCTGGGGATGGAAGTGCCAGCTAATTCAATGCACTGGAACTTCGCTACCTTGGCTACCTCCTTCAGGGAGGAGATAGTACTAATAGATTATAAAGCGTTGTTTCCATTTCTCTTCTAAATCTTAGATTACTTACAAAACAGGAAAAGCAAACCCTGGCTCATTATAGTTTTACTTAATAAACAGAAAAATCAAAGATGGAGGGAAAACAGTTAAAAAGGCTTAAAATCAGGGCACCTGGGTGGCTCAGTCAGTTAAGTATCTGACTTCAGCTCAGGTCATGACCTCACGGCTCGTGGGTTTGAGCCCTGCGTCGGGCTCTGTGCTGACAGCTAGCTCAGAGCCTGGAGCCTGCTTCGGATTCTGTGTCTCCCTTTCTCTCTGACCCTCCTCTGCTCACGCTGTCTCTATCTCTCTCTCTCAAAAATAAAACATTAAAAAAAATTTTTTTAAGGCTTAAAATCAAAGTGTTCTTAAGCACCCATCCCTGTGTCCAGTGTCCACACTTCCTAAAGCCAAAGACTGAAAAATACATCAAATGGACATCAATGCCGGCAAAGCGGAGAGCCAGCTGATGTACTAGTGAGAGGGGGGCCTCTGGTGAAAAATGAAGTGGTTCTTGATTGGGCGGACTATACACCGGCTTCAAAAACACTGAACTGTTGGGGGCACCTGGGTGGCTCAGTTGGTTGAGTGTCTGACTTGATTTCAGCTCAGGTCTTGATCTCCCTGTTCGTAGGTTCGAGTCTCGCATTGGGGTCTGTGCTGATGAAGCTTGCTTGGGATTCTCTCTTTCTCTCTTCCTTTTGCTGTCCTTCCCTCCCTCTCTCTCATTCTCTCTCAAAATAAATAAGCTTCAAAAAATACTGCTATGGGAGTAGCTTGAGGTGAGAAGTTGCAACTAGTTCTAGACTAATGGCTATGGTTTCATTTCAAATGAGTCATGATTCAATTAGAAAAGCCAGCCTATTTAAAAACCAATGTATCAAAGCATCTCAGGAGATAAATCATGGCCTGAAATGTCTGCAGCAGCATCTGGCTTAAGGGAAATGGAGAATCCAGCAGAGGAGATAAAAGATGTGCCTAAACATGAATAACTCTGAGGATTTATTATTAGATGGGAGTTAAGAGGCTTCTCCCACTGAAACCTTGCCTTCCTGGCTTCAGGAAACTCTTGCCTTCTCCAGCGCAAGTATCTCACCTAGCTGGGCTTCTCCTGGTCTCCTCCCTTCCTTTCCGCAAATCCTCTCCCACTAGAAACAGCCTGTCCCGCTGTCTGCACTTTGGTTCAAGGATCACGTACATTCCCCCCACACACATCTTCTACCCGAAAGGAACCCCATCCCCCACGTGCTCAGGCTGAAAATTTTCTGGCCAGTGCTTTGGGATTTCACTTCTAGAAGACACCTCATTACCCCAGCCTCAACCAACTACTTCCAAGATAAGACCAGTTCCATAATCCAATCAGGACATTCTTCCTCCAACCCAACCTTCACCCATTCTTGACTCCCCAGTCCCCACAGTTGATCTACATTTCCAGAGTCAAGAGGATGGGGGCAGATATTATGGGTGCGAAGGAATGGCCAGCTATGTTGCTACTGGAGAAGTTAATTTGGGAGCTGCTCCTTTAAATGGTTCTCCTTAGGACCAACAGTATTTCATGGTGGACCCTGAAATCCCAGTTGGGTAGTCTGGTAGAAACATGCAGAAAGCAGTGAACAAAGACAGCAAGATGAGGTGGAAAAAAAAAAAAAAAACCATGGCCATGACTTGCCTCTTGACTTGAGTATAGTCATATTACTTTCTGAATTTCAGTCTCCTTGGATATCAAATGGAGATCAAAATATGCACTTCCACGATCTTAAAAGTTCTCATCTCAAGAAACAATTTTTGTAACCATGGATGGTAATGCAGGTTAACTAGACTTACTGGGGTGGTCATTTTGCAATATACATCCCAATATTGAATCGTTCTGGCTAGGTCTGAAACTAATACGACGCTATATGTCAATTACATCGCAATAAAAATACACCTTTGGAATTTTAACAAAAAGTGTTTATACATCTAAAATAATATATTTACATAAAATTTAATAATCAAACATTTTTACACATTTTTAAAGTAACAAAGGAATTAAATTTCATTTTGATTCAAGGAGATAATTGGCCAAAGTTACCTTTCTAGAAATGTCTGTCTGTGGCAGTGAGGCCCTCCTAGACAGGGACATCAGAACACCATACATCAGCCTCACACCTTCTGAATGCCTGGTCTCCGTTCCCCTCTGACTAAGTCTCACCATTCTTTAGGCCACTGATCCTTTGGGGTGGGGGGTGTTGGGGTCACAGACCTCTCTGAAAATTTGGGGAAACCTATGAATCCTCTGCACAGGAAAAACACGCCTGTCTACCTCTTCGCATAAACGTGGCATGTGACTTAAGGCATTCCCTTCCACGTTATGAGCCTCTGCTTTCAGCCCAGCACTGACTGACTTCTTCCACAAAATTCCTGTGACTCTCACAGTGTACAGAGCCCAAAGGCACAGACTGCTTGTGCTCCTGAACACCCAATGCTTTGCCTGATTCTGTGTTTCTGTGCTGTTTAAGGACATCTTTACAGAGTGTTTGCGTCTCGAGGACACGGACTACATTTACATTTCTGCCTCAGGGTGCCTCGCCAAGTACTAAAGAGTCAAAAACATTTACAGGATGTGGATCAAAATTCCCCCGGGGTACTTACCGATACTTGAGTAATTCTGGAGAATATTTTGACTTGGCTTTGAAAATCACCTGCAATGACAGAACAACATGGCGGGTTGGGGATGCGATATAGTGACACCAACAAACATCATTGCTTGGAATGCCCCCTTCCCTTTATACCCAGGTACCAGGGAAGTTTCTGAAATGGAGAGGTCTGCTTTGTAAGAATGCTTGGTTTTTTGTTTGTTTTTTTTTAATTTTTAATGTTTTATTTATTTCTGAGAATCTGAAGCAGGGTCCAGGCTCTGAGCTGTCAGCACAGAGCCTGATGCGGGGCTCGAACCCACAAACTGTGAGATCATGACCTTAGCCAAAGTCGGACGCTTAACCAACTGAGCCACCTAGGCACCCCCTAAGAATCCTTAAGGCTAAAGATTTTTTAAGCTATTCCTACAATTTTCAAGATAAAGATATTTAAAAATGATGAAGATGGGGAGGGAGGAGCCTGGGAGGTTCAGTCAGTTAAGCGTTTAACTTTTTGTTTTGGTTCAGGTTTGTGAGTTCAAGCCCCACATCAGTCTCCATGCTGACAGTGTGGAGCCTACTTGAGATTCTCTCTCTCCCTCCCTCTCTCTCCCCCATCCCTGTTCTCTCTCTCTTTCAGAAAAAAAAAACTTTATAAGGTGCTTTAAAATGATAAAAATGGCAAAGCAAAGAAAAAAAAAGGGTGGGGGAAATGTAAAGCTATTACTGGTCTACCACTGCCAAGTATTTCTCCTTTAAGATTTGTATTTGAGCCCGTACTTTCACTACAGATAAACAGTCCACCCTCACTCTTAATTATAATTTTCACTGGCACCAAATTCACGGCATTTGAATGTAAGCATCCACCCACCCAGGCCTCACACTTTGCAGCTCACTTTGGTCAACGTCCCTGGGCTATAGGAGCATCAAACGACCATTCACGCATTGGGAATTCTCCCCATCTTTTGCGTTCTCCACAATTGCTAATGTGTTTCCATGCAGGGTGCAGCGGCTGGCCTGGCAGACACTCTTGAGAGGCGAAGAGGAGAAAAAAAGCAGGAGGCAGCTCACGCTCCCACTCCACCGCGACACGGAGACGCCGGGCTCCCATAGTGCGCATGCGCAGGTGGCTTCAGAGGCAAGCGCAGGTGGGCCCCGTAGTGCGCATGCACAGGAGGCTTCAGAAGCAAGCACAGGTGAGCTTCGGGGACCGCGCAGGGCTAGGGCACTGGGAAAGGGCCGGGTGGAGCCAGCAGTACACCAGCTCATGCCCTGGCTCTCTTAGATCCCTGGTGTTTACAGGGCAGGGGCGACTCTGGAAGAAGGGAGGGTATGGGACAGTAGAGAAGGGGAGACCGTTTTCCAGGGATGACCATGCCGTGGATGTGAGTGATGAAGCCCTGCACTCCCCGGTACCGAGTGAGCCCCTCTGCACGGGGCTCCCAAACACGCTACCAGCCCCAGCCTGCCCTGTCCTGCCTCTCCCCACCAATCCCCCTGCATGCTCTCCACCTACTCAGCTTTCTTTGTACTTGGGACTTCTGGCGGATTTTGCTCAGGCCCTGAAAATATATAAGGGGCAAATGCGTTGCCTGAGCTGGAAAGAGTGAAGGGCAAAGGGAGAATGGGGTGGGTGGCCTGAGCATGGTTGGGAGGTGGGGCAGGGAGGAGAAAACAGGCAGCTCTGGGATCTGAGAGGTTACACAGAGGTGAAATACTGGCTCCCCCTGGTCTGAGGAAGACGCAGAGAGAAATCTGTTTGCAAGAGGGAGATTTGAAAGTAACCCCAGGAAATTCTTCGGTGGATCCCAAGTGCCTGGGCAAGTCTGCTGATGCAGATGTCCCAACGGAGCCTCCATGATGACTCTATGGGCCAGTTCCCAGAACACACATTCAATAGGAGAAGCCAGTTCCCTCTGGGAACCTTCTAAAAGGCATTCTTCTGAGACCTTCAGTTATTAATTCTTTTACATGTGCATGAGAACCACTGTGGAAAACAGTATAGAGATCTTTCAAAACATTTAAAAAAGTAAGTATCATACAATCCACTAAGTCCACTATGGAGTATTTACCCAAAGAAAACAAAAATACTACTCTGAAAAGATAATCTGCACCCCTATGTTTACTGCAGGATTATTCCAGAAGCCAAGATACGGAAGCAACCTAGTGCTCACTGGCAGATGAATGGATAAGGAAGAAGCAGTGTGCATTCACAATGGATTATTACTTGACCATAAAAAAACCCTAAAATCTTGCCATTTGCAACAGGGATGGACCTGCATGGTATGATGCTAAGTGAAACAGGTCAGAGAAAAGAGAAGGACCAATACCGTGTGATTTCATATAGATGTGGAATCTGAAAAAGCAAAATAACAAAAACAGACAAGCAGACTCTTACATGCAGAAAACTGGGATTGGGGGATGGGCAAAATAGGTGAAGGGGATTCAGAAGTATTAGCTCCGAGTTATAAAATTAGTAAGTTACAGAGATGAAAAGTACAGCAAAGGGAAGGCAGTCAATATGGGAATAACGTGGCAATGGTGATAGACGGTCACTATACCCACCAAGGTGAGCACTGAGTGTAATGTACACACTTGTCAGAATCCCTATGGTGTACACTGGAAACTAATGTAACATTGTGTGTCAACTATACTGCAATTAAAACAAAACACAAAAAAGAATCACCCGAGAACTTGTTAAAGATGCAAATCTGGCCATTTGTAGCAAAGTGGATGGAACTCGAGGGTGTTATGCTAAGTGAAATAAGTCAGGCCGAGAAGGGCAGTTACCATATGTTTTCACTTATAAGTGAATCAGGAGAAACTTAACAGAGGACCATGGGGGAGGGGAAGGGGGAAAATAGTTGGGAAGAAGGAGGGAGGCAAACCATGAGAGACTCTTGAAAACTGAGAACAAACTGAGGGCTGATGGGGGTGGGGGAGAGGGGAAGGGGGGTGATGGGCATGGAGGAGGGCACTTGTTGGAATGAGCACTGGGTGTTATATGGAAACCAACCTGACAATAAACTATACAAGAAAAAAATAAAATTTTATAATTCAAAAAATAAAGTACCAACCATTAAAAAATAAAGATGCAAATCCCACAGCCAACCCCCCCCCCCCCCACCCAGAGATGCCAACCAGGTGGGTGTGGGGAGGGGCCCAGGAATCCACATTTTAATACATTCCCTACCTGGGTGATTCTCATTCAGCTAGTCCAAGGACCACCTCTTGAGAAATACCACTGCCCTGGAATAGCTTCGCAATCATTAATTTAAAACACACTGAAAGAGGCCATCACGATAATCAGACGACACTGAGAGTCAGGTATGGTGCAAAGAACAGAGATTAGGGGATGCTCAGGGTCCACAGACAGTCCCCCAGACACACACACTCCTGCCTTCCCTCAAGTCTCCAATAATGAACAGATTGCCACTGGGGGCTCTCAGGCAGACTCTGTATCTGGGGAAGGGGGGACCGCAGCTACTCCCACAGACTTTACAATCACCGGAACTACCAACCCCCCTTTTAAAACACATTTTCAGAGCTTTGCAGGTGAGCATTCCAAACTTACAACATATTTTGTTTCGGGGGAGCCTGGGTGGCTCAGGGGGTTGGGCCTCCAACTTCGGCTTAGGTCATGATCTTGGGGTTTGTGAGTTTAAGCCCCACATGGGGCTCTGCGCTGGCAGCTCGGAGTCTGGAGCCTGCCTCAGATTCTGTGTGTCTCTCTCTCTACCCCTCCCCCACTCACACTCTGTCTCTGTCTCAAAAAGAAAGAAACATTAAAAAAAACACCACAAGTATTTCGTTTCGGACATGAGTTTTGTATCTGTCATAAATCACTTTTGGAAGGAGGTAAGAAGTAGGGGTTTACATCACAAATAAATTAAAATATCTGGTAATAAAACAAACAGGTGGTGGCGCAAACCTTAATGAGGTCCTCAGTTCAGCGTCCCCAACAGGCTCCCATGGGGTTTTGGACAAGTCACATCACCCTTGGTGTCCCTCTGCAGCTCATACAGGCAAATGTTATAAAACAACCTCTCTCAGAACAGAGGGCACTTGGGTGGCTCAGTCGGTTAAGTGTCCGACTTCGGCTCAGGTCATGATCTCACGGTTCGTGGGTTTGAGCCCCGCGTCAGACTCTTTGCTGACATGAGCTCTCAGAGCCTGGAGCCTGTCTGCGGATTCTGTGACTCCCTCTCTCTCTGACCCTCCCCTGCTCACGCTGTCTCTCTCTCAAAAATAAACACTAAAAATAACAATAACAAAAAGTAAGAATTTACAGATATCAAAGTGTGGGAAAAACTACAGTATTTTAATGTTTTGTGAAGTTTGAGAGAGAGAGAGCACGAGCAGGGGAGAGTCAGAGAGAAAGAGGGAGAGAGAGAATCCCAAGCAGGCTCTGCACTGTCAGCACAGAGCCTGATGCCAGGCTCAGACTCACTAACCACATGATCGTGACCTGAGCGGAGATTAAATCTCGGACCCTGAACCAACTGAGCCACCCAGGTGTCCCAAAACTACAACATATTTCAAAAGTGCCTGACCTTGTCAAGCCAATATGCAAATATTTTTAATGTTGTGCCACGCTTAGGAGGGCTGCGTCCGGGGCAGGGACTTTAGCCTGAATGACTCCCTTTACTCGTACACACCAGGCCTATCCCAGTGCTCCCGGGCATGGCCCAAGAGCACTCCATGGGACAGCATCCCCCAGACGGGGCACAACTAGGCCGTCACATCCTGTGGACTCAGCTCCGTGCAAAGTGCCTTCAACACAAACGGGCCTATGGCTGGAAGGGAGACAGAGCCACGCAGAGGAGACAAGATGGGACACAGACTGGAAAGGCTTCCGCCTTGGCTGGCGCAAGTGCAGGGAACCGACATGCAAGCCATCGGCTCCATCTCACGATGAGCACGTCTGGCTCCTCTTCTATCCCCCCTCTCTCCAAGTACTGCCCCCTCTGGCCTTGCAGCTCCTGGTGGCTGGAAGATGACAGGTGGGAATCTGGGCAGATCAGGGTCAACTCACTTGAAAGAGGCTCCCTGCTGCGCCTGCCACC